TTGAGGTCTGGCACACTGAGCCTTGTCCGTGAGACAGCTGCAGGGAGCTCCTAGTCTAATGGGAGAGACCAGTTCCTGTTCTCGGGAAACTCTCAATCTGACGGCAAAATGCCAGAGAATGCCGAAAATGACTTTAATCTGGGCTTTCCTATAAAATATGGATGAGTGTTATTGGTTAATTATATTACAAACAGCAATGAGAATTGCTATCATCTATTAAATGCCTACAATGTGCCAGATGCTGCCCTAAGTTCTTTTATGCATTATCTCATGTAAACATCTCAACAGCCTTTCGCAGTGAGTATATTATTATTCCTATGTTCTGGATGAGGTAAGTGAAGTCCAGAAAGTCTGAGGTCACACAGATGGTGAGTGGTGGGGTCAAAATTTGAACCTAGAGTTTTCTTACTCTTAGCCACTATACTGTGCTTCACCTGTGTTGACTAAAATCTTTCTTGCAGACAAACACCCCCAACTGCGCACATGTACTCTTTCCTTGCAGAGCGTAATTGCCAAAAGGACACATATGGGTGGGTGCCAGGGCCAGATGGAGAAGGGGATGGAGAAGGAGGACAGGGTGAATAGCTCCCAGGGCCCAGGGCCCGGCCAGGACGGTCTTCGCTGGTGGGGGCGGGGCCTGATGACAAAGGCCAGGTCAGGGACTCTTCTGAATCATTCTCAGGACACAGAGAATTTCTTTCTGAAATTGGGTGATATCGTCAGATCCTTTCCAAGAATACCCTGGGCATAACTGAGGGGCTAGAAATGCCAAAAGCAAGACCCAATCACCTGTCATGACTGTGCGCAGAGAAATCTGCCCACACAACCTCTTGGCACAGAGGGCGACGGGTCTGTATACCCCTTCCGCACTCTGGTCTAGAGACCCACTTTTCCAAACTCAGAGTGCCCCGTCTAGGGTAAATGTCTACGGTGTGCCCGCCTTCAAATGTGGGTAAATATAGGATTCTTTGTTTCTCTCCAAATGCCCCTGCCACAACGCTTTGCATCCCGGTATTAAAACTGTTACAATGCTTGTCTGTTTCTTTCACCTCTGTTCTGGGGCAGTTCCCTTGTTGGAAGGTGCGCCGTAAATCCAGAATCACTTAAATGCATGAGTATACCCTCATAGATCGGAGGAGCAGTTGCCTTTTTCAGAGGTCTTAAGTCATTGCAGCTGGAAACGTGCAAAGACTACTGCGCAAATCACTCTCTCCGGGCCACGTTTATCCACCGCCCTCCAGGGAGGACCGCGCCGCCCGCCCCAGGAGAGCTACCCTCACCCGGTCCTGAAAGCCCAGCCCCTCCTGCTGCTCTATCCAAGAGAAACGCCGGCGAGTCCACCACCCAGCTGTTGCCCTTCCCCGGCCCGCCGAATCCGAGTCCTAGGAGGGGAAATCAGGCTTCTGGAACAGTTTCCACATGGGGGCGCTGAAGGGGCGCGGGAAGGACTGAAGCAGGGCTCCTGTAGCGTCATCTGCGGGAGTGGAACCCAGATCATCCGCCGGACATCGACTCTCTCCGCTCAAAAGTCCCTACCAAGCCGCCGCGACTTCTCACTGGCGCCCCCTCCCTCCTGCATCCCATCCGCCCTGCCCACTCCATGCCCTTCTCGCTCCCGTTTGCCTTTCTCAGTCAAGGGGAAAAAGAGCACCCGGGTGGGAGGCAAATTAGGTTCGAATCCCGACTCGGCCACTTCGCAGTTGGCTGGCCTCATTCTAGGCGCGCAGCCTCCTCTTCGCGCCGGCCGGGGAAATCGGACCGATCATCCCACCTACTCTGAGTAGAGCAGGCGCTCAGGAAACGTCAGCTTCCTGCCCGCATCCCGCCCTCGGCTCCTCGTGTTTCTCTCTTCTCTGTTTCCCCTCAGCTTTTAAAAAAGGTCTCTCCTTCCTGCGTCCTTTCTTCTCTCGGCTGCGCAATAGTAACCAAACCTCAGCCTTTAGCAACCCTAAGCGCCCACCCGGAGTCCTAGGGCGCTCCGCCACGGCCGCGACCCATCCCGCGGTCGGACCGCTCCCCGCGCCCGCACCCGCACCCGGCCCAACGCCTCCGGGCGCGCACCTCGCCTCGAAGGACCTCGCCCGCCCCAGGCCCAGCCCACCCGGGTCGCGCCACCCGGACCCGCGCCCGCCAGCGGCCAGCCGAGGGCCCCAAGCCACCCCTTCAGGGCCGCAAGGACGGGGCGAGGCGGGGCGCGCCGGCCAGGGCCATGCCCGGGTGGCCGAGGGCACCGGGAGGGGCGGCGGGCACCAACGCCAAGGCTCCGAGCGCCAGTCCGACCGCAGCCCGAGGGCAATGCTGCAAATAGCCGCGGTTTCCATCCTGGGCTTTGCGTCCCTCCCGGCCTTCCGGATCTTCGGGATTTTCTCTCCCTTCTTCCCGCCTCCCTCTCCTCTGCCCCTGAGGCCCCTGCCGCCTCCCCGCTGTGCACCCACCACATCCTGTCCCTGCGCGGGACGGTTCCTGCGCTGGCGGGGGCCAGGAGACCGGCTCTGAGGTCCAGGGTTCATAATCACAAAAATGAAGTTAGGATTGAGTGCATGCCATGTGTGCGGAGCTCCTTAAGGGTGAGGATTCACGAAATCTTTACCACCACCCAGTGTGGGGAGGCTCCAAGTTGCAAATGGAGAAACAGGCTCAGAGAGACTCCTTAGGTCCTAAGTCACCCAGTTTGGACGTGCAGAATGTGAAGCTGTCACCCCTTCACAGAGGCTCACCCTGTCACTCTGCCTTCAGCCCTGCATTCCTTGCCCTTGTGGGCAGAAGCCCCAGTGGAAGGTGGGACTTGGGCTCCGGATGTTGGTCTGCCACCAGTCTTCAGTGTAACCCAGAGCAAGCCCAACCTGCCTCAGTTTCCACATCTGTAAAATGAAGGGGATGAAAAGCAAAACTCTGTTCCCTGTAAGAAAAGACAGTGGAAGCCCCAAAGGGGAATATGAGGTATTAAGAGCCCTGCCTTTGGGAAGTTCCAGGGGAGGCTGGGTGACTACCACTTGAAGGCTGAGACAGGTCCACAGACCAGGGATGGCTGTGTTAGAATAGGGCCAGGCCGGGGAATCTACGCTTTAGCAAATGCAGGGATCCTGAAGCCATCGGGTTTGGGATCCACTGGAGAGATTCCTGGAAGGGGTGACCGTGGGGTGTGTGTGGCTGTCCTCCCTAGAACCTCCACACTTGTCTTTATTCATCGCTGCCTTCGCCGGCCAGGGCTCAGAGTGGCTGCGTGTTTCTTATGGACCTATTGTGTGCCGAGTGTACGTGTATGACAGCCCCCTCTCAGAGAGCGTATGGCATAACCAATCACCATAGCAGACTAGCAGGGCTGTCCTCAGCCGAGCTGGCCCCTCTGGGAGAAATCGAGCAATCCACCTCCTCTCAGGGGTGCACAGGCGGCCCCAGGCCGGGAAGCCCAGTGAGTCGAGCAAGGACTGGGTTCCGCCTCCACTCTCTCCTTAGCAGCCATCTCTGCACAGAGCACAACCTGAAGAGCCTCTCTCACTGCAGACTCTGTGCGGCTGTGAGAGATATATATGAGAGAGACTTGAGGCCAAATAATTCTCACACTACTGAGGTGGCGACCATTAAGGTGGACCTTTAAACTGGACCTTTTACGATGGGTGGGAGTTCACCAGGTGGAAAGGGAGGTCCAGGCGGAGACCAAAGCCAAGGCCACAAAGCCTGAGAAATCCCAGCCTGTCCTGGGGCAGGGAATGACTATGGAGCAAACTGGGAAGGGGACATGCCCTTCCCTCGTTCCCATCTCTGTGCCAGCACTAACTGAACACAACTTATCTGCCAACCAGAGATTTCCTCTTCTGGACTGTGAGATGCTGTAGGACAGAGACGATGGCTTATTCATCTTCTGTGGCCAAACGCCTCACCCGGGGTCAATAATTATAACAGTAATAAGAGTTAACAGGTATTAAATATTTACCATCACACACTGTGCTAAGTGCTTCACATGCATTATCTCATTTCATCCTCAAACAACTTTGGAAATAAGTGCTATTATTAATCCTGTTTTACAGATGAGAATTTGAAGGCTTGGAGGGGCTAAGTAATGTGCCAAAGGTCACACAGCTCTTTGGTGGTGGAGCTAGGGCTGGAATTCAGGTGTCTCTGACCGCGGGTTCCATGTTCTACACTGACGGGTGGATGGATAGGAGACAGGGTGGAACTAAGTGAGGAAGGGCGTTGAATATATTAGGGAGCTTGAACTTTCTGCCAAGGGCAACGGGGAGATGTTGGAAGTTTGTAAACTGGGAGAAAGAGGTCAGATCAGGACTTTAGAAAGATCACTTTGACAGCAGTGGCCAATGACACTTGAACAGGAAGCTATTTATCCGGCAAATTGCAGTTCCCACTTGCGAGGGGCCTCATTTCACTAAGCACTATGTCATTTCTCTGAGGGTAAGACCTGTGTTACTATGTACACATGGGGACTGCTCACGGAGGGGAGCATTGAGGAAGAGGGGCTCAGTGACGGGAAAGGGAGACAAGTGGCTGACTCCTGGCTCTGTTCTGGGGAGAGGCCTTTCTTACAGGGGAGCAGAGCACCAGGAAGGGAAGAGCCATACAGTTCCCTCCCACTTCCAAGATGACAAGCCCCCCACCCCCACATTCCAGCCAGGAAGCTGGAAGCACCAGGTCCCACACACTGGCCCATTGTACACCTGCTGCCAGAGGGAATGCAGCCAAAGGCGAGGCTGCTGTTGCATCAGAGAGTTAAGCCCTGAGATCAAGTGCTGGGGGGCGGTGGTGGAAGAGGTCTGGTCCTTCTGAGAGTCCTGATATCATTGGCCTTTCCAGCCAGGGAGGGAGGGGAGTCCAGGAAACGTCCCTCTGAGGTCAGATAAGCTGAAGGAAGGAGTGGGGTATGGGGTAGAACAAGGAGTCCTCACCTACAGGGAAGGAACCAGAGAGGGGACTGGCCTGCTGGAGGCGGCGTCTTCAGGCTGAGAGGGGCTCCCAGAGGGTCCCAGCACAGAGCAGTGCCCACCATGCTGCTCTGCCTCGCCCTGCTTTTCCTCACGGGGCTGTCGGCGTACACCGTGGCAGGTGACAAGAAACTGGCACTCGGTGGCGCTGAAGCAAGGTCTTGGGTAACCATGACCCTGGAGGTAAATTTGGGGAAAGGCAGGGGATGATCCATGATTGACAGGCCATCAGCTGTCCCCTCCCTGGCTGCCAGGAGAGCAGGCTGTACATGGCAAGGCAGGTTGGATGACACCCCTCTGCAGGTAGGTTCAAGGCCACGGCCCCTGGCCTGACCCAGCTCCAGAGGGGTGCGTGCCTATGGGAGGGACACATGCATGCAGAGAGGGAGGGAGAGATTTAACTCATTTAACGTATCTGTCCTAAATGCTTCATAAACATGAACCCATTTCATTCTCCCATCAACTTCATGGGGAAAGTACCACTTCACAGATAAGGAAACGTAGGCAGGGGAAGGTCAAGTAGTTTGTCTAAGATTATGCACCCTCAAAAGCACAACTGCACACCTTGCCCAAGGTCTTATTCTATGTATCTGGGTATCAGAGGACATTTTCAGGAATTTCGAAGGGGCATCTTGGAGCAGGATCACTGCTTTGTCTCACATGCAGAAAGTCTTATTTCCTGACAAGTACTGGTGATATTGTCAACCTCCTCTACTAGACTGACATGAGTGCTGTGGCTGGGGAGAAATCTAGAGGTTAGAGACCTAGAACCTGCATCTGGTAGGGGCAACCAACATCTTGACCTTGGGGAGCTTCTAATCAGATGGGGGAGAGAGACCAACAGACCAGGGACAGCAGAGCCAGTGCTCAGGGAAAGCTTCCAGGAGGGTGGACAATGGGATAAGGCCAAGTCTGACTCCTTTTAGTCCCCAGAGGGTGAGGACGCAGGGGCCACAGGAACATCCATCGAACGAACAGCCACTCATGGTGAGTTTCCTCCCTGGTTTGGCCAAGCATGGAAGTGTTTGCAGTTGAGAAGATAATAGCACAGGAGGCCTGGGCTCAAGCCTCAGCTTCTCCACTGACCCCACGTGACCTTGGGTTCACTCCTGCTCTCTGAACATCAGTTTCCTCACCTGTAAAATGAGGGAAAATACCGCGTCCCTCAGGGTATGTTTCAAGCTTCACAGAGTCTGTGCCTAACATCGGGGGACCTGACCCAGGCACAGGGCAGCCGAGCTGTGACTGGGAGCACTCTGTGCAGCCACACGGGTACCACTGGGCTTTCTACCTGCCGTCCCCTCACCTTGCAGCCAGGCCTACTGCTTATTCTCCCCCCTTTCATTTAACACCCCTCTGCTTCCCCAGACACAGGGTTTAGAACACAGGAACCATGCATGCGAGAGAGGTGACAGAAGGAATGGAGGCGCTGTCAGGGACCGTCTGATCCCCTCCCAAGCTCGCAGGGCTCCCTGTCTGCGTCATCCGTGGGGAGGCCGGAAAAGGGGAGGGCTTGAAGGAGCTCAGGAGTCCTTTCTGAGTGAAAGGGAAGGGTGTCTCCTAAGGGGCCCCCCCAGAAACCCGGTGGGTGGAAGAGAGGTGAGTCTTATTTGGTTTATAAATATTCCTTCTCCCCAGCTTGCATCTGACAGCTGCCTTTTACCAAGGAAAAGTGGCTTTCATAAGCTTTATGGAAATGGGTCCAAATCTCCAAAGAGACTTTTCCACGCCCTGGCCAGGCTCGGTAGCTCCAGCCTGGGGCTGCGGCCTGGGCCACCGACATCCCGGGGAGGGGACAGATTGGAAGTGACTGAATTAGTCTTAGAAAAAAATCTACTCTTACTCCTAAAAGTTGGGACAAAATGAGCTATGAGAGGTATGGGGGTGTCCTCTGTGCCCCAGCCATGTCCCTGCTGGCTCCTGGGGCACCAGCGCTGCCCCTGGGGAAACTGGGGGTGGAAGAGGGAGCCCCTGAGTGCACCCCAGCTCTCAGCTCCTGGCTGGGTGCTTCATCACCCTTTCCATCGCCCGTCTTCAGCCTTCCTGGAAGAGGAGACCCCACGCCCTCCCTCTCCCCAGACTGTCAGAGAAAGGGCCTGCTTGTTCAGCGCTCTGTATCCCAATGGGCTGAGTTTCTGTGTCTTCCAGGCGCTGTGCCAGGTACTGGGTGTGCAGAGATGTGAAGAAGGTCGAAAGAATGTCGCCCACTGTTACTCTCCCTCTAGTGAGCCTCTCCCCCTTTTAGCAGGGGCCAGAGAGAGAGGGGGAGAGAGAGAGAGAGAGAGAGAGAGAGCGCGCGCGTTGGTCAACGTTGATGGAGGAATGAGAACTTCAATCCGTAGCCCTCGGTCCAGAACTTTCACCGCATTCACTTGAGAATGAAAATGTTTTTGCCCAGAGTAGCGGCCTCCACCCAGACCACAGGCCATGTTGTCCAGGCTCTAGGGCGGGGTGGATCTGGGACAATGCGGGAATGCCAGGGGAAGGGAGGAGACCAGAGCAGGCTGCGAGGGGAAGCAGTCTCACCTTGCCTACTGGGTGCCTGCCCTGAGCCATCCGCTGCCCTCCTTGTCTATATTGGAGACACTTCCCAAGATGGAGCAGAATTCAGGCTCTGGAGCCAGGCTTCCTGAGTTTAAATTGTGGCTCTGCCACCTCCTATGTGATCTTGGAAAAAATCACTTAACTTCAGTTTTCCCCATCAATTAAATGAAAATAAACCATTGTCCCTACTTCACATAGCGGCTGGGAAGAGTAAATGAAATTATGACTGTTGTGTTGCAGCCTCCGAGGCAGACGCCTGGGCTTCCAGTTCTAGCGCCATCTCTCATTTCCTAGTTGATGACCTTGGACAGGCTGTTTAATCTCTCTGTGCCTCCGCGCTTTCACTTATAAAATGGTGACGATAATAGTACTTACTTCACAGGGTTTTGGTGAGGATTAAATGGCATTAATATGTTAAAGTGCATAGAAAAGAGCCAGGAACATAGTAGGTGAAATGCTGGCTATTAATTATTATTACTGCATGGTATTTGTGAAGTATGCAAAAGAGCCCGGTGCCAGCACAGAGCAATTGTTATTGAAACTTATTGCTCAGGCCACCCTCCTATTTCCATGCCCGCCTCCCTCCAACTCTAACAAATGCTCTGCTTTTACAGGAAGAGGTAATCCCTGGCATTCAGGTCCAGCTCCAGGAGGTGAAGAGGGGCAAAGTGAGCCAGTTCTTTGGGCTGATGGGGAAGCGGGTGGGAGGTGAGTAACAAAGGTGGGTGGGTGGGTGGGGTGCGTATGGAGGAGTGATTCTGAGTGGGTTGTTACACCAAGCAGGGGTTCTAGCGTAAAGCCCAGGACTCAGAGTCCCTTACTCCAGGCCAGTAGGGGTCGCTCAAGAGATGGGCAGGGGTAGAGTGTCCATAAAAATTATCTTCCCAACCAGGACACTTTGGAGAGTCTTAATTATGCCAGGTAGACCTGGGCTGTCTCTGGCACAGAGGGAATAGAGTCACTCTAAGGGTAGGGGCAAATGCTTTGCACCCACTGGTATGCTTACTTTTGAGGCTATGGATGAATTTCGAGAGAGGCAGTGGAGCTACAGATCAGTGTCTAGAGGTGAGCAAAGCCACAGGCCAACTTTCTAATTCCGTTTGTTTTGAATAGAATTATTAAAATGAACCTGTGTTCCCTGAGGAGACCCTCAATGTGGGAGTCATGTCCCTGCGGGGAGAAAAGGATAAAATAGTCTGGACAGAAATCAGCTTTCTCTTTCTTGTGGCCAATATTATATATATATATGTTTGAAGTGGTGTTGGTGAGGGTGTGAAGGGCCCGGCACTTTTATACTCTATCTATTTGCAGGACATGTTGACAATGGCCATCAAATTTGGAGATGAGCATACCTTTTTACCAAGTCTCACTTCAGGGAATCTGTCAAGTGGATATGCATGAGCCCTGAGATAGTTGTACTAGAGTGTTCATTGACAACTTGTCTGTAATAGCAAGAATTTAGAAGTAACATAAAAGTTATCAGTAGGGGAATAGTCAAATATATTAGGCACATCCATAGCCTTTGTGGCCATCAAAAAAGGATGAGGCAGATATGTGGAGAGACAGAGAAAGGTCTCCAAGATTCTGGTTAAGTGGAAAGAACAAGTTACATAACAATATGTTTGACAGGAGGCTACTTGTTTGTTGTTGTTTTTTTAAATGACATACAAACATACACATACACATGCATAGAGAAAGTTCTAGAAGGATAATTATCAAACTGTCTATAGTGATTATATCCAGGATAGGAAGTGGAGGTGAGGGAGAGAGAGTAAAGAGGGACTTTCATTTTTACTGTACAAGCCTCTACATTACTTGATTCTTTTTATAGTGGACAAGTATTCAAAGACTGCTTTTATAATTTAAAATATACATGTAAAAATAGAGAAAACCAACTTGTGACCAAGCACTTGTGGCCTTCATTTCCTCCTCAACAAAATGACTTTTGGACTGGGCCATTTCAGAGTTCTCTTCCAAATCCAACAACCCCTGAGGAGCAGGGGATAGGTCTTTAAGATAAATATTTGTTGAGCACCTACTATGCTCACGTGTGATTAAATCTCACAACCATAGCCTCTTCACCATGAGCAAGGAAACTAGGGTTAAGATAGGTTAAATGCTTTTGCAAGAATGCCCAGCCGGTGCCAGATGCTAGCCAGTGACTTCCCTGCCTCCACACTGCCTCCTAGCGGGAGCAGCCATGTGGCTCAGCCACACAAGGACAATGGGCAGTGGCTGGAGATCCGCTGAAGACCCACTACAGTCATCAAGCCCCAGAGAGCCATGAGCCCCTCCCCACGGCACCCAGGCCCCCGGGAAAGTGGCACAGCCCTCATTCCTTCTTTCTCTTTCCCCCAGGGATGCCTCCTATCCAGCCAGGGAGGAAAAATGGGTAAGTGTTCCCCAGACCTTTCCCTCAGCATGCTTCCTGGGGAGGGTGGAGTTGTCCTGGCCTTGAACAAGCCAGGGGGTGGGGGGAGAAGCTCTGGCCAGGGACACGCATGCCAGGCTGGCATTGCCAAGGGTGGGGCCCCGTGCTCGGTTCCCGGGTTGTCTCCTCAAGGGTGGCCTGTGCATGCTTAGGCAGTAGGTGCAGGGATAGGAAAGAAACGGGATGAATGCAGCCCAGTTCTGCCAGAGGTTCAAAATGACCTTAGGTAATTTTTTACCTAAAGCCCGGAACTGGAAAAACCGATCAATCGATTTCCCACCTTGTATCCTCAAGGATCTTACAAGTGCAAATCTGAGCAGCCTAAAAATCCTTTGTTGAAAAGGGAAAAAGAAAGCCAACCACGCTTTACCCACCCTCTACCTCCCCACCCCTCACCCCCAGCTCTCAGGATCCAGACCAACGCCCCAAGGACTCCCCGCATCCTCCATGGCTGCCCTCACTGGCTTGACTCCCAGCCCCCTCGCTCCTTCCCTGACCGCCTGCTGGATCACAAGGCTGGGGTCTTGAGAGTGGATCCCCTCCCGCAGTCACGGAGTAGGGCTGCCATCTCCTCTGTACCCACCACACCCGGCAGTTTCTATAAGAGGTGCCCAATGGGTGTTTGTGGAAGGAAGGGAAGGAGAGAGGGGAATGGAGGAGAAGGAAGAAGGAATCCATGAATGAATCAGGGAGTGAGTGGACCAATCTGTGCTTTTTTCCTCAACTCACAGTGGTTGAAAAGTGACTCTATTTATGAGGCCCCAGCTCCAGCCCCATCCCTGTCCTTCCTGATTCCCCAGACAGCCTTCCTCTGCTGCACTTTCTCTTTATCTCTACTCTCTCCACCAGGGCAGCAGCAAGGACAGATGGTCCAGGATCGCCTAGGCAGGAAAGGACCATCTACAGAAGGTAGGTGAGAACCTCTAGTGGATTACAAGGGCATCTTGAGAAAGTGAACAGATACTTTGCTGTCAGGCTCAATGGTGGGGGCCAGGCAGCTGGACAGACAGGAGAGGCTCCCTGCAAGCCACTGGGCTGAGGCCCTGCAGAAGAGAGCAGTCAAGGTACAGGGAGATGGTCCCTTTGATGATGGAGACTCAAAATGACCGTAGCCCTGATGCTGCGCCCTCTCCACCCCCAACACACCCAGGCACACTGTGCCCCCCCAGCGCTCAGGGCCAGCGAAGCCACAGAGAGTGATGTGGCTTCCCAGGCCCTGGAGCATCCCCCTTCTCCCTCGCTATCACCATTAGGAAGTTGTGCCTTGTCTTTTGGGATTTTTTAAAGATTTTATGTATTTATTTCTAGAGGAGAAGGGAGAGAGAAAGAGAGGGAAACCAATGTGTGGTTGTCTCTCAAATGCCCCCCACTGGGGAACTGGCCTGCAACCCAGGCATGTTCAGTGACTGGGAATCGAACAGGCGATCCTTTGGTTCAAAGACTGGCGCTCAATCCATTGAACCACATCAGCGAGGGCAGAAAGTTGTGGCTTAAGTCTTAAGATATTTTCTGTCTTCAGCAATTGTACATAAGTGCAAATCACTCTTAGAGGGGAAACACCCTAAGCAGTTATCAACTAACACCACACCCCAAACGGGTTCAAGGGTATGCTCAGTAAATGAACAGGCATGCAAGTAGGCGAGTGAATCAGTCTGGGGCAATGATCAAAAGCTCAAGCCAGCCCTGGCCAGTGTGGCTCAGTTGGTTGGAGTGTGGTCCCATCAAGTGAGGTGTTGAATGTTTGGTCCCTGGTCAGGGCACATGCTTAAGTTGCAGGTTGGTTTCCTGGTTTGGGTATGTACAAGAGGCAACTGATCAATGTTTTTTTCTCATATCGATGTTCTCTCCCTCTCTCTCTCTACCTCCCTATCTCTCCAAGATCAATAAGCATATCCTCAAGTGAGGATTAAAAAAAAAACAAAAAAACCAGCTTAAGTCAGCCCACACAAGACAAAGGGCAGAGGGCGCCCTAGCCAGTCCGAGGCCCTGAGCTCCAGCATGCCTTTGCTGATGCCTGACCCCTTCCTGGGAGCTGCAGACTCCTGGACCCCTCTCTCACTTTCCTAACAGAACACCTACTCCTTCCAACAATAGGCCCTTGGGAATAATGATAGGGAAGTCCTGTATTTCCCTGAGATTTTTTCCTAAGTGGTTGAACCATTCCATTTGAACGACCATGAAAGTCACCCCAATACCAACGAGGAGATGAATGTCCCTCCTGCAGAATGTGGGTGGGAACATTTGGTCACTTTTCAGGGATGAAAATAAGTTGCCCAGAGTCACACAGTGAGCTGCTAACAGAGCCAAGGCTAAAAGCTGTCTCCCGTTTCCTTGTCTAAGGCACTTTCCACGTCCCTGGGAGGGCCTCCGGTATTTTAAATACTGGATTACCCCTCCCCTTCCTTTAGACAGGATAACTGAGGGCTGGCTCTGCCCAAGCTCTGGAGGCCTGTACCACTGCACAATGGAAGACGTGGCAGACGGGCCTGTAATTTGATCGCCCTAGAAATCTACAGCCAGAGAAACAGGAGTTAGGGAACGGAGTGCCTTGGGCGGAGTGACTTGGGAAGGCCTCCCGGTGGAGGAGCCAGGCAAGACTCTCCTAACCACCGGCCACATACAAAACTCTTCCCAGGCAGAGAGGATGAGGACCACGGGTCGGAGTGAGAGCCCCCATCGCGTGCTACCAGAGGATGAAACCCCTTCTCCATACCTGGACGTGACAGCTGCCCAGCTGGCCAGGCCAACGCTTCTGTGTGTGTGTCCCGTGTTCAACACTGGCTGTCCTACCAGGCTCACAATGAACCCAGCAGGGCTCCTTCCAGGACTCTCGGACTTGAGCAGCAGTCGTTCAGAATGTGCACTGCTGTCACAATCTCGAGCTCAAGTGGCCTCGTCTCCCTCAGCACTCAGAGCTCTTACGTCACTGCATAGCAGGACTGAGTCTCACCCCCTTCTCTATCTCCTGTGCCCAGAACATAGTAGGGGCTCAATAAACAAATGAATAGTCACGGCTCCTTCTCCAGTACAGGGCGGAGAGCCAGAACGGCCCAGGCTATGCACCCTGCCCAGCAGCTTGTCACACCAGCAGGCCAGAAGGCCTTTCCAGAGCTGCAGAGGGTAATATTAAACTGCCCTGGCCCCTACCCGTGGGTGGGAAAACAGGTTTGCAACACAAGTAAGGACCAAAGCCCCAGCTTGAACGCAGACACCTTCGCCCGACTCACTGTCATGATCTCAAGGACCCAAGTCCATGTGTCTTCTGACTTGGAGAAGAACTGGGTCCCAGGTCCTTCCTCTTGTATAAGACAATTGCTTTGCTGTTGGGACACAGGCCATCCGTTATCCCCGAGCACCTGGAAGAGCTCCAGAGGACTGAAACCCTTCCCACCCTCTGGGATCCCCAGCCGGACGGGGAGACCATTGTCCCTGCCCCTGTGGTTTATAGTCAAGGGAGACACAGAAGACCCCAGGGTGCTTAGAAGGGTGCGCGTCACCAGAATAAAATCCTAGAGGGAAGACTGAGGTAATAAACCTCAAGGTGTTGAAAGGAATGAGTTGGGAGCTTTTCGGGTTCATGGGTTCAGCAGTAAAGGAGGTTCATTCGTTCACTGGGCTACATAACACTTTCTCTGTGTCCCTCTCCAAAAAGAAGGTAATGAGTTATCAGTGTTTGGGGGCGTCTGATTCTTGGGGGGCGGGAATGTGGCACTAAGCTGTTTAAAAGGGAGGGAACACGGGGAAGAAGGAGGCATTGGCGGAGAGGGTGAGCCTTCCAACCTGGTCCCAAGCGTGTTAGACAAGCAGAGCTGCTAAGGAGGCCAAACGGTGTCTGCACAGCCCGCAAAATTCCTCCATTTGACCTGTCGTGAAACGTCCTGTCTTAAAGCTGTTCATCACAAGCCCTGGATAAACCTCAAGCCTCTTTTCTGCCTTCTCATACCATACACATGTCCGGTGAGAAATGCGGTAAGTGGGAACTGTGCAGCTGGCCCCTGACGCTATGGCAGCATCGCACAGTTAATGTGCTTCTCATTCCATCCGCTCCTGACCTCCTGGCCCAGCAAGCACCCCGCTGTCTCCTCCAGCTCACCCCACCCTGTGCTGCGGTTGGTCCCAGGAGGTGGTTCACTAATAGCCCAGCTTGAAGGATCGGCAAAGAAGGTTAAAGATTTCATTCCTGTGTTTGAAGTTTGGGATGTTTAGGAAAAACTACATTCACCAGCTATTTAGTGAGTTTCCTCTATGTGCCAGCCCTTCACTAGCAATGCAGGTGGGACTGGGAGTATGAAATGTGAGACGAGGATTTGTCCTTGAAGAAGTCACAACTGTACGGGGCAGCGGAGATGGACTCACTCCATGCAAAGGCCACGCCCTGCTGTCCAATCAGCTTTCTCAAACCCACCATGTTCACTCAAGCTTCTGGCTTCTGCACATGCCATTCTTTTCCCATCCTGGTGATTTCTGCCTCAGAGGTCAATGTCTCTGGAAAGCTTTCCAAGCCCTGGCACTAAACGTCGGCTCCCTCCTCTGAGTTCCCAAAGCACTTTGCAATCTTTCATTACAGCACTTTAGATGATGCTGTTATAATGCTTTATCTCTTCAAGTACATGGAACAGATCTTCCTTCTCTTTACCCCAGTGCCAACATAATGCATGGCATCTAAGAGTGTTTTGACAAAGGGATTTCACTTCCTGTCCTCGGGGTGCCATGAAGGAGCCACACTTAACACAAGTAACTGAAATAAATAATAGCAGCTACTGCTTATGGAATACATGTCGCGTAGTTCTCAAACATATCCCAACACTTGACTCTTGACCCCCTGCCTCAAAGCTCCTCCTGTCCTTGGCATCTCGACAAATGGCACGTCTATGACCCCAGCTGCCCAAGCTAGAAACCTGGGAGTTACCTCTACTCTTCACTCCCCACTTTTAACACATCCCCGAGTCGTTGGTTCTTCCGAAACCTGTCTTGAATTCATCCTGCTGCCTTTGCTACCGCCATCCATACAAGCCATCGTCGTCCCCCGCAGCAGCCTCCTGACAGACCTCCTTGCTTCCAGCTCACTGCCAGGCCCACCCTAACCTATTCTCCATCAAGAACATGATCTTTTAGAATGGGAAACGAGCCCTGGTTGGTGCGGCTGAGTGGATTGAGTGCCGGCCTGCGAAACGAAATGTCAATGGGTCGATTCCCAGTCAGGGCCTGGGTTGCAGGTCAGGTCTCCAGCAGGGGACGTGTGAGAAGCAACCGATCGATGTCTCTCTCACATAGCCACATTTCTCTCCCTTTCGCCCTCCCTTCCCATCTCTCGAGATAAATAAAACCCCTGCTGGCTGCTGTGTGCATGGTTTCCTAGGATAAACCTGACCATCTTGCCAAGGCCTCCAAGGCCCTGCGCTCTGGGTCTTCCCCCTCAACTGCTTTACTCGCCCACCCCCAGGCTCTCTCTCAGGTGCACACGCACACCGCATGTCCGCCGGCCTCAGGCTCTCCTGTCTGAACTCTGCCACAGCCCTTTGAGGTCCCAGGATCGAGGCCCTTTCTTGACTGCCGAGCTCTCCTTTCAGTTATGGGACACCCTGTCCTTTCCCATTCATTGCACTTGGTCACAACTAGAAATCCTATGTATTTGTCTCCTCCAGGAGATTCCAAGTTCAAGTTCCACATCTTTGGGGTACCACTAAACATTCGGTTCTCAAATACTCCATGAAAAAAGTACCTACACATCAGGCATTCTGCAAGACAATTTACCTTCACAGTTACTGCCCTCATTCTACAGAGAAAATGGCGGAGCCAGGAGTTGAGCCAAGGTGCCTTCCCTCCAGACACACTCAGCCCCTATGCTGCTTACCTGGTCTGTGCCATAATTGTACATCCAAGTCCCAGGTGGAACAGTAAGACTTCATAAGGAATTCCTTTTTAGCTGGGTCTATTTGAACAGGCAGGAAAGAAAGTTCCCAACGCCTGCTGCCCAGCCACCCCACATCCCTAGCCTACTGGTCTCTCAGGAGGCTCCTTCCAGATCAAATCACTCCAGGAAATGTTGCATTCTGTCTCTCCTTCATGAAAATCCCAAGAGGGCGGTTTTGAAAAACGCTGAAGTCAAGAAACATACCGATATTCAACGTAAACTCTGTGTTTTCAAGTACCACTTTTGCCCTTATTTGTGTTTAATGGTACCCACTTCAGGGAATGTTGAAGTGGACGTTTTCCCAGTGGAAACAGGAAAGGGGCTAGAGACTAATCCAGATGCACAGTGAAGCTACGAGGAGGGGGCTGATGAAAGCAAGCTATGGAGATTCTGTCAGCTCACGGAAAGACTTGAAAGCCAGAATGTGAACTTAATCCAATGAGCAATAGGCAGTCATGTCAACTCTTTTTTTTTTTTTTTAAATCTTCACCCAAGGACATTTCTCCATTGCTTTTAGACAGGAAGGGAGAGGGAGAGGAAGAGAGAGAAACATCGATCAGCTGCCTTCTCATACGCACCCTGACAGGGAGATCAAACCCGCAATCTGGTTATCAAACGTGTGACCTTTTGGTCTGCGGATGATACTCCCACCAACTGAGCCACACTGGCCAGGGCCAGGTCAATGCTTCAGTAAGAAAATGATGAGCCACATCTTGATAGTAGGCTAATCGCTTTTCCTTATCTGCTTCCATAGGGAGGCAGCCAAGAATTCTAAGGCCAGGCAGGGAGCTCAGAAGCAATTTGATTGACAAGCTGAGATATGTTGAATGAGTGAACAGGCTGAAGTGGCTCTGAGGGTGCCATTATATGGACTGTGAATACTGCCCCCTGGAGTTATGCACAACGGTGTCGCTTTCCTGGGCACATCTGGCCTCTAATCACAGGCAAGCGTTAATCGAACCTACAGGGCCCAACTGAGTACCAGCCCTTTGGCTTCAACAGTGCTCTTCTTTTACTTACTCCTTGACTCCTAAAGCAATTAATGGCTTCAAACAGCATTTCTCAGTTCTCTAGGCTGGCAGGCTCCCCTGCATGTTTCTTTAGCTTCACGCGGTATCAGCAGGGGCCACTTGGGAGGCCGCGTTCAGCCAGGAGTACGGCATTTGCGGTTTTGGCACTATTGGCTGCAGCACCTCGGTTCTCCTGCGCGTGGCGTCTCCTATATAGTCCCTCACAAAAAATACTCAGTTCAGCTCAAACGTCTGGTTTGGAAACACGTCAGCTGGTTCCCAAGAGCAAAAGTGGAAGCTTCCAAAATATTACTTTTGCCACATTTAATTAGCCAAAAGTCCAGCCCACACCCGAGACGCTCTACCACACCTTTTTTTGTGAGATAAGAGTGTAGGTTTCTAATAACTTTGGAATAAAGTAAATATAAAGTGCGTTATTCCCAGAAACAAATACCCAGTTAAGACTGACTGACTTCTTGGAATGAGCATGACTTCTCAAGAACAAAGGTGTTTATATCTCACAGAGAACATCCAAGAGGAGTAATGGAGCCACAGTTGTGCAATAGCACGTTATTTTCTCCACTCTAGGGCACAAATAAACAAACCCCCAAGCCCAGAGGAAGCAGCAGCATGACCTGCCTCTGCAGGCATTGCCCAAGACGGAAGACGAACTGGAATTTCAGCCCCCAGGGCCTTATTCCCCACTGGGCAGTCCTTTGTTTCCTCCTAACACGTATTGGCATTTCATTGAAGATACCACAAAGGAAGTGGGCAATTACACTGCCCCCAACAGTAGAAAAGTCTGGAAGAGGCTGTCATACAAGTTTGTAGTAAAAAGTGCTTATGTAAAACCAGTGGAGATTCAATTCTCTAATTCCATTATTCCAATGCATAGGTAAAGATAATTTCTAAAATTCTAGAATTCCTAGCACATACTTAAGTTTTCGCTTTCTTCTCATTAACAGGAAAAACCCCTGCCCAGCATTTTGTACATACGTGCACCATGAGGCCATGAGGAAACTCCTGTGCAGAGCCGGGGAGCCGGGCCTCTCCCTAGCTGCTGTTTCCGCCCACTAGATGGGAGGTTATCTGAGCCTGCACACACCGAGAACTAGCTTAGGGCCTCGCAGTGCGGGAAGGTAGGCAGGAAGCAGGTTCTCAAACCAGGGTATCTCATTTCTTAACTCCAGTCCAGGAATGGACTTCAAGGGCTCAATTTTCCAACTATACTCAAATGTGTACATTATGCACATTTAAAAAAAGATCCGATACTTAAGATTCTCAAAACTAGGATCACTGATGAGCTTTGTTTGCTTGATCTCAGCACTCCTCATAATCCGAGTTTCTTTAATGTCAATTGGCTTATCAATTTGTCTTCAAAGGCAGGCAGGGACATTTATGACTACACTGAAAGTCATTAATATACATCCAAAAAGCCACTTTTCATTTGTTTCATATTCCAGAAGGAAATGTGTACTGTAAGCAGCAAGCTGTGGTCTATTTCTTTGTACTGGCTTTTCATATGCAGTCCCGACCTTGATCTGAACTGGCTTCACATGAACTCCACTTGAGGCCATTCCTAACCCCAGCCAGGCAACCTGCCCAGAACTGCAGGGACAATCCAAAGCCGAACACAAGTCAAAAGCATCACCTTGCTATATAAAGGGCACACCATATTGTTAAAAATTACTTAATGACTCATTATTCCCTGGTGAGAAATGGGAAAACAGGCGGTGAGGCCATCAGATGACTCACGGCAACACTGTCAAGTGTGGAATCTGGGACCAGAGAGGCGGAGCTCACTGTTCCTACATCTCAGCAGCACGACCTCTGAATCTCAGATTTCCTTGTGTGGAAAAGGACATAATATCCACTTAGCCCTGGCCAGGTAGCTCCATTGGTTAGAGCGTCATCCCAATGTGCCAAGGTTGCAGATTCGATCCCCAGTCAGGGCCCATACAAGAAGCAATGAATGCATAAATACGTAGAATGAACTGTTTCTCCCTTCCCTTCTCTAAAAGAATCAATTAAAAAAAATTAGCCAGCTTACAGCGGTGGTGCGGTGAGGACTAAAGGAAACCATGTAAGTAAAGGGATGGTGCTCACTAAACAGTTTATTCCTAAGTCAGGAGAGCCAGAATGAGGCACAATTTTACTTCTGAATTTAGGTCTCTGGCCCCCGAGTGCTGCTTATAGAATCAACTAAAATCAGTTCTTTTGTCTGAAAGTTTTCACCAGTTTCATTATTTTTCTTGCAGTGGAAGCTACTGGAAGCATGAGAGCCTGTGGCTAAAGCAAGGGAATCTAACTAGGAGAGGATGATTAATCATTAAAGAATCAAGAAAGCTGAGAAAACAAATGGCAGAGTGAGGGTGTGGGTTCTCAACTTGGACCAAAATGAGGTTTCTGGCTTCATTGCTGTGTCACTGTGGGTTCCAGGTTTCCTTCTGCAAAACCAGTGTGAATTTCTACTGCACAGGGCTAGTGGAAGGGTCAAGTGCGGCAGTGTGAAGGGACCCAGCACAGCGCCAGGCGCACGGATAGCGACCAGCACATGACAGGGCTCGCTTTTTCCTCCAGACACAAAGTGCTTCCATTTAGAGGGTTTCAGGAGTTAGATCCAAGAATAACTCCAGATGTGCTCTTCTCATGAAGGAGCCTAAGCAGCTGAGCTTCTTTTGTGCAGGTAAAAAAGTAGTCAGAGCGGAGAGAGGCGTACTGGAAGTTGACAAGAAAGTTAATACTCTGTTCCTGTGCCTGTCATTTAAACCAGAGAAAGCTTCCTTTTACTGTAGATGCTTGAGTAACAGCGTTTCATTCTAGTTCATTTCAAGGTGATTAGATGCCATGGGAGCTTAACTCATTTATACCAGCCTATGGAAACTGGTTTTGTTAATCATTTCACTAAAACTCACAGAACCTATTGATATTAAGTGAGAACCTAACTGTATTTTTTGGTGAAGAAAGGAGGGGGGCAGGTGGCAATCAGTAGACTGGGGACCCGGATGTGCACAAATCTTCAAGTACCTTGACCTCTCAGCATTCCATTCTCATGGTCGATTTTTACCTACTTCGATGTTTTCAAAATGTGAGAGCCTAATTCCCCTTTGATGCAAATATCAAGAACAGGGAGTGTTGGGCACACATCATTCTAAGAGGAATGTTGTGGGTCCTTTTATATAACCTTAAGCTTCTCTTCATGCATCCTCCAGCCCCCGTAAGTGACACACAGGGCTCTACCCCTGCAAAGGAGGACCCTTAGTTTGCCCACAGGCATAGGTTCTTCTCACCACTACTGGCCACGGTGAGCAAAGCGACCCCAGCAAATACAATTTCCACCCTCCTCCTTTCCATCATAGAGATGTGCCTGACCTCCCTCTCCCCGCACTGGGTAAATGCTGCAGGAAAATATAGCTACTTTCAGAAATCATGCAACCTGAGTCAATGATTAGAGGCGGTGCAGCTCACTATTGGCTAATGAGCTTGGAGATAACAAGGGATACACCTGTTTCCACCTTCCCACAAGTATCAACTGTACCCCACCTATCCTAACTTCCTGCTGGTTCCTTTGCCCTTGAAATCAGAGAATGAACTCAATGAAAGAATGAATAATACTAACTAGTCCTTGTGGAACCAAAATGAGGAAGGATTTACTCCACCACCTACACAAATTCAGAGTAAACACACCCCCTATTGATAGCTTGCATCAGGGGAAAAAAATTCCCACAGCCACTAACCACATCCCTCAACAGTGTACTGCTAGGGAAAACAGATCCCAAGTGCATTTCCTATTAGTAGCAGGTCAGCTGCACCATTTTCATAATAAATGAGACCTTCTGAGTGAAACAGACTTGAGCAGAGAACATGCTTTATTGAGGAGTAGATATAGAACAGCACATTCTACCACATGTGGGGAAGGGTTAGCTTCTGTAAAAGGCTTTTATCCCTTAAGAAAACCCCCAGTGAAATTGCTTTTGGATAAATTTTAAGTGACACTGAAACTGGCAGGGAGCTGCCACTGAACATGCTTAAAATTAGCTCCCCCCAACCCACAGTGAATATAAGTAGTGTACAGAGATGACAAGAGAAAAGGCACAAATGACCAGAGTCGGGATTGTGGTGAGGGCTCCACATGAAGACAGCAGTGTTGTAGGCGACCAAGTTGGGAAGGGTGACATGTCATACATCAAAAGCTGCCCCAAGATAGCAGGTTATAATGGGCCGGAGCGAAATTAGAGGGAGCATCTCTTCCTTCACTTAAATCCCAAAAATAGGAGACCAGAGACTAGGGGGATGGTGGCAAATCCCAAAGAGGAAATGGAGGAGGAGTTCTTGGAAGGGCATGAGCACTTTAGTCCTAGGGGGAGGGCGAGGCACTGTTGAAAAGAGAAGCAGACCTTGGCGGGGTGGCCATTCTGCCTGCCTTGTTGAGTCATGGGCTGAGATACTTTACAGTGTCTGCTTCTCCAAGGATGTTCAGAAAAAATCAGTGCAACTTATGTGGAAGTACAGGTGTGCGATATCAGACTGGTACTCGTGAAAAGGTCTTTGCAATTACTGAACCAGTTAACATGCAGCATGAAAGGGAGAACTAACTGGAAATTATTTTGGCACCTGCAAACATAAAAAGGGGCAGGAAGTAAGGAAGGAAGAAAACGTTTACTACTGGGCACTTTCTGGTGAGGCAAAAAGTATTCATTCCCTTCCACCCAGACAGGGCCCACTGCCCAAGGGTGAACTCAACACAAAATACAGAATCACCACCTCTTACTTCTCTCCAGCTCATTCAGATAGATGATGTGCTGTTACCAAGACTGATCCCAGGGTGGGGCTTCCAAAGTATTTGACTCTGACCAGCCTGATACTGACCAAAACAGGTCTTTCCATAAAAATGGAGGAAAATATTGAAAGTGAGATGAAATCCGAAGGGAAGAGACCCCTCCCAGCACACACTCAGAGGTGTCACCTCTTCCCTGCCCATCCAAAAAACACATGTAAGGAATAACTGGAAAGGTCCCGGCAGTGGCAACTATATTTGGAGGTCTGGCGACCAGGCGGCAAGAAGCACGATTACAAAGTTTAGAAGACACAACACAACCTCATGGGGTAAGAGAACATGAGGAGAGAACCGGTGACTGGACAGGTACAGTACCAAACAGAATACCTTGGGTCAGTGCTGCGAGGGACCTGCACTCAAGTCTAATATAGATCCCATCTGGGCAACCTCACTGAGGCCGAAACAACAGTTCCTCAGAACCAGCGTCTGCAGTGTACATGAAGGTCGGAGCCAGGACAGTCCTGAGGGGGGTGGCCTTCCCAAAGGATACTGTACTTGCCAATCACGAGAGCAACAGAAATGACAGACAGATCCCTAGGGTGCGGATTCCTACTGCTGGGGTTCGCTGGCTCAGAGTGACAGGCCACTTTAAGTGCCCTTGGGAGGGGTCCATTTTAAACAGCTGGGGTCCATGGTTTTATTGGAGTTGGATCTCTTGGCCTCTTTGGCTATCCACTCATCAATCAGGTCCTAGAGGAGAAAAATGGGAAAAATTATTGTACACATTCAACTACAATGGCTTTATATATGAATTCCAAAATGACTGCTGGCAAAGAAAGAATCACCCAAGATTTAATACTATACTAAGGTGTAAAAAAAAATTATCTTTGACTTACAAATCCATTTCTTTCTCCTATGTCCTTAGTAAGACCTGAAAATCATTATTCATCTTCCCTAATGGTAAGTGTGAGTCAACTATAAAACCATTTTAAAAGTGTTTAAGTGGAGACAGCATTTCTTAAAGGAATTTAAAGCCACTTTCACAAGCCTAGAGTTTATTCCTTTCTACAGATGGGCAATTTTCTGCAATCTGAGAAAATCGCCGAACGACAGAGTGCTGTACAACGTACGGCTGCTTAACTCAAGCTGCTTAACGTGTGTCACCCGAACGCGACAGGAGCTTGCCGGCACGGGTAAGGAGGGGGTAAGCTCGGCGGAGGCGCCACCGCACACTGAATAAATGAGACCACATAAAAAGGTGCATGTAGCCAAACTCCTTCAAGAAGGAGAGGTGACCTTTAGGGTGCGAACACCCCACTCTGTTCTGCTAGGCCTCAAGGGACATTCGGCAATGAGCAAGCAGCTGACAAAAACTTTACCTGTCTCTTCAAAACTAGGTGTTTTCCTTTCCAATACTTGAGCATCTGAAGGGCTTGCAGAGTGCTGACAATGTCCACAGGATTCACAGCTGTCTCCTGGCTAATTTCTGAAAAAGAAGAGCTAGTAAGGACCTGGCCAAAGTGCGGATTCTCCTATCAGGATCCTTCCGCCCCTGCCCTTACAGGACATCCAAACGAACTCCAAATGGTTGGAGCCTTTGACACACAACCCAACCTCCTCAGAAAAAGTTTACGAAGCATTCAGTCAACCAGTCCAAATAACTACAGGACGGTTATTACAGCAAGAAGCCAGTCTTGGCCCTTACAGAAATCAAGGTCAAAGCCAGATCATTAAATTCTTGTACCCTTGCATAAATATACAGGGATGTTTTAGAAGCTCACGTATGTGCCAAAAGACTTCAAGTTTTCATTCATATCTAAACTTTTGTTAATAATTAAAATGTTATCAATAAAACCTTTTAAAAAACAGAATTAAAATATTAGTACAACCTGGCATTTGAGAATCCAAATCATACAACCAGTCCCAAGAGGCAAGTACCCTGGAATCCCTAGGCACCGTTAAGGGTCTCCACAGTGGCCCGCATTCAGCTGGCCTTGTGTTACATTCAGAAAAAACAAAGAATGGGGCACTATCTTTGCGGGTTACAAAGCATGAGCAGGGCCAAGACGAAAAGTCAAAATGTCCAGTGGCATTAACATCTTGGGTACAACCATTCTAGAGTCAAAAACCAACCTTTGATAGAAATCTCTTTGCCTTGGAAATTATGCAGGTAGCGAAGCAGCACTTCTTTCCAGTAACTGCGATAGCTTATGAGCCCCAGGTCTGAGAGTGGACGTTCTGGGGAGCCAACTTTTTCTTCCACTTTGGAAAGCAAGTAACCTGCGAGGGAACAAACACACAGACTTTTTTTTTCAGCAACACTGTATCTCATCCTAATAGAAAAGAACAATGTGCCAATATGGAAGAAGGTGTAAAAAGTACAGTACTTTGCATTGTCAATTAGGCTCCAGACAAATTTTACTCATTCAGTGAAAAACTATGTAGCTGTCATAGAATATGCTGCCTTAGTAAAGGAAAAGGAGAAGAATGTGTATTTGCATTTACTATAATAGACATAAGAAACTCTGGAAGGCCTCAACAGACACTGCAAGAGCAATGGTTATCTGCAGGTGTGTGCTGGGAATAGGGTAGGGAGGCCATTTCATTACATAGCTTTTACTTTTCAAATTGTGAACTTTACAAGTAAGTCATCGGAGCTTTGGGGCTGGTGAACAAGTGGAGGCACAAGGAGAACGGTGAGCCTGCAGAGGGCAGGGCACCTCTGCACCCTTTCCTCACACCTTGCCCAGTGCACTTCTTCCATCTGATGTCCTTTGTACATTGTACATTGTGTATATCGCCGTCATATCCTTCAAGAAACTGGTAAAGGACCTGATGAATTTTTCTGAAGATCTAGTAGTCCTGATATTGCCTTCCCCTAACATAATCCATAATCCAATTACCTTAAAACAATTGTCAATGACAAACCTCTAAAGATAAAGAGCTAAGAGAGATGCTTCATCACCAGTCATTCATGCTTTCTCTTTCAATGCTATAAAGAGAGTCTTTGCAACAAAGTACTGACACACGTCACAACATGGATGGATCTTGAAAACCTTATGCTACATGAAAGAAGCCACACAGACAAGGACACATACTATATGCTTCCATTTATATGAAATGTCCAAAATGGGAAAATTAATGGAGACAAAAAGTAGATTAGTCAATAATATTTTAATACTACGTATCATATCACATGGGTACCAGACTTTCTGAGATGATCACTTCCTAAGTTACAGAAAGGTCTCATAACTATGTTGTACACCTAAAACTAGTATCAACTGTAATTGGAAAAAAATTTTAAATTGTTTTTTAAAAAGTAGATCATAGATGCCTAGAAGTGGAGAGATACGGAAATGGGGAATTAATTATTGCTAGTAAGTATAAGTTTTTTGGAGGGGAAGATGAAAATGTAAACCTGGATTGCGAGAATGATCGCACAATTCTTTAAATGTAGTAATTCTCTAAATTGTACTTTGAATATGAATGAATGTATGGTATGTAAATTATACCTCAATAAAGTTGCTTTAAAAAGGAAAAAAAATTAAGAACAGATTATCTCAGTACCACCTATGAAGTGGTTGGGAGGACTCAAATCTCAAGAAGCCTCTAGTTCTAACATCTAAACATTTACCATTCAACACCATGGGGCTGCAGTCAGCAAAATTCAGTCTGGGAAACTACTGGGAAACTAGCCTGCTTTCTTCAATAAATAAATAGCAAAGAAAAAAGAGCGATGGAGTGGCAATTTTCAGATTAAAAACATTTACAAGCCACATCTGTCAATACCAATATATCAATTCTATATGAATCTGAGTAAAAGTAATACTTTTTTCCTAAAGAACAAAATCACAGTAGCAGGATAATGTGAGTACTGTAATTTATCATATTAAGAACACTTTTGGTGTTTTTTAGGTGTAAGAGACATTATCTTCTAGAGATATTAAAATAATGGAGGATGGGAATATACGTCGAACAAGATTGGCTATAAAATGATAACCACTAAGGAAGTTTTATTATACCATTATTCTACTTGTCTGTTTCAAAATTTCCACAAAATTAAGTTTATAAAATAGGTGTTACCTATTAAAGATAGACTATCTCCCCTCAGAATTCTAAGAATTCTAATTTTGACTGACACATATTGAGCCACAGTGAAACACAATACGATTCTTATTACTGCAGCTCTGTTCTACAACGTCACTGCAAATACTGACGTAGTGAACAAGGAACCATCGCTCCTAGGGAAACAGAGTTAGGTTCCTGCAAGCCTCGGGTCACATTTTCATCAGCTAATCACTAGGTAACCTTATTTATGTATTTCTGTTTAACAACACCTTGTTTAATATTTATTGTCCACATAGTAATATTGATTTCACAGCCAACAGCACAATAACCTATCCTGAATGAAGCCTACTACAAATTTTCTCTCTGTAAAGCACATCAAAACCTTTCTAGACTGTATTTCGGCACTATACTTAGGGACCATTTAAAATCAGCAACAAAAAGCACAAAAATATGAAAAACATGGCACTCCTAGACCGTGGGAAGAACACTTGTTTATACTAAGCTGAAACAAGGCACTCTGTTTGACCTCTGCTGGAAATGTGTGGTGACTTATTTTTTTGCTGCTGTGCGCACATCCGCGGATGATAGCAGAAGTGCCAAGAGCACTGATTTTGGGGTTACAAATAAAATTCTAGTGAGTAGGCAAATTCCTGAATACGGGAGCCACAATTAATGAGGCCCAAAGCCTTTTAGCAGGTATCCTGCTTGCCTCCAGAAAAGTCCTTACAAAACTGAAATCTTTAACATCCACAAAGAGATCTGAGGCCTCATACATACATGTGCTGTTCATAAGTCTCAGACTGGGCTAATCCTAACATGCTCACTTTACTCTCCTCTACGTCGCCTACTGCCAGGTCCCAGGCTGAAGGCCTTGCATTCACTGAGTATTCAATGTGCACCAGGCCAACTGCTGATGTTCAGGTTTTGCCCACTTACTCACTTTATGCCAGTACACACCAGCTAAAAGTCAGAAATTGCAGAGACCGTAGGACAAAAAGACAACGATGTCCACATGGTCCCTGCCATGTGGAGCTGAGCAGTCCCACTTACTGAAATCAATGAGCATCTTGCCATAGCCCTGTCTCATGTACTGAGGCATGGTAAGGATACAGGACACGTTATAGTTGAGGAATGAATTCTTCTCCTAAAACCAAGAACAGACAGATGAACAGGTCATGTGGGTTTAGAACCAAAGGTGTCAGCAGTCCTACAGATACAAAATAAGGCTGCTTGCAAAGTATCTGGCTAACCAGTCCTGGGAGTGGCTGTCCAGCTCCAGCTGTTACACACCCTTTATGATGGCCAAAGCCCTTGATCCCAGGGTTTCCGTAGCTCTGAGACCTCCAGTCTCATTTTAAGGGGGCTCACTCTGGATTCTTTATAGTCACAGAGCAGGGAAAAAAGGGTTAGATTGCACAGTCCGGGGCAGCCCTCTTTAAAAGCGATTTTTCAAAACGGGGCTGCCTCATGGAGGAGGGAGGGATCTGAAACAGTAATCCCCATTCTGGAAGGAGGTAAAAAACAATCAAATCACATATTGTATGACTGCATTTATGCAAAATGTCCAGAACAGGCAAAGTTACAGAGACCCCTGGAAGGGCTGGGTGGGCTCGAGTGGGAATGGGGGAGGGTTGCTTGTAGGCGCAGGCTTTCTAATTGAGGTAACGGAAACTAGCAATAGTTGCACAACTCTGGAACTATGCTAAAAACCACTGTACACTTTAAATGAGTGAACTGTATAGTATGGGAATTATATTTCAATAAAATTGTTATATTAAAAAGTCATAAACACAACCTGGCCTTGAGTTTTTAAAGGCACTATGGGATTATCAGTGTGAAAGAACCCAGCTTTAAAAAAAGGAGGGGGGGGGCTAAAGGAATAAATACCTGGTTTGAGCTAATAACAGACAAGAGGGCTGAGCCAGAAGAGCTGGCTTGACTACAAGATGTGGGCTTGTGGGTTAGAAGGCAGGGCACTGGCCAGTAATTAATAGGCAGCTCCAACCCACAATCCAGAAATGAATAAACCAGAAGCTTTTAATAAAGAATGGCACATTTTCATTAAACAATCTTTGATATGGATTTTCCATTTTTTTTTTTTTTTTAAGGGAAGGGCTGTCTTCATTGTCCAGAACCCTGCAGTTTCCTGTCGGTGATTTGAGTCCCCATGAGGCAGTATCAATCACCCTGCTCTGACCATTAGCTTCTTAATGTCCAGATCCTGCTGACCTTGGAAAAATATCCAATCAGGTGACAGCCAGTGTTGTCTGCTTCTGTCATAACATAGAACAGGAAGGGCTCCACATCATAATATAATGTCTTGTGGTCCAGAAAAAGCTTGGCCAACAGGCACAGGTTTTGGCAGTAGATCTACAAGCAGGAAAAAAAAAAAAGAGTTCATGTGTAGGCCAGTGATTCCTGAACTTATGAGATAAAGGCCTAAAGTTAAAGATCATGTCATTATTGTTAATGAAGCAGAAACTGTATTTTGGCCAACAGAAGAATTCTACCTTCTTTACAAGGTGAGATGGACACAAAACAAACTCCTTCTGAAATCTGTCAGTGCACAACACTACCAGCCCTGTTTCCTAGGTCGCCGCTTTTTACCTTGTTTTTCTTGCCATCCACTTCAAACACGGATATTGAACCTTTGCGGTATATCTCATCGCCGGGTGGGTGTTTCCACACACACTTAGCCTGCAAGAGAGTGGAATTCACATCAGGGAAACAAACCTTCCCAACGAGACTGCTGCGCAAAAGGGGAAAAGGATCGCAGGTCAAATTTAGTCAGCCGAGATGACAGACAGTTGGACACGCACTTGAGAACATGCAGCAGAACAGGTTTCTTTTTTAGTAAAACAACTTAAGGCTTCTAAATCATTGTGATATATTTATGATATTTTCTAGCAGTTTGGAACAAGTTTTCTGGATTATATTCTGGCACTGTTTCAATCCAGGAGATTAAAACCATCCACTACGTAAAAGCCAGATAAACAAAAAATACCCTTGCTTATTAGAAAATGCCTGCGACAACAGGAAATTCTTAAGCAGCTTATTTCAAGCAGCTTAGAGTTGCTAAGTAAAGATAGGAGTACTTTACTCTCACCTTTACCAGTAACTTCTCTGGTTGCCCCCAAGTGTCCCCTTTGTTATATAAGAAAATAGGAGCAAGTCCTTCTGTGGGAGGAAACAAAAAAGGAAGGGTTGGGGGAAGGCAAGGCAGCCAGACTGAGCAGGAAGCTGGGACTTGCCTGGGGCCCAGCAGCACCCTAGGGGCACTTGGCCACAAGGGGGCACAAGGTACCCCTTTCCTTACTCTCAGTTGCTAATAGATTTAAAGCAGCCAGTCAGCCATGGCTGTAAATTACTGATCTTCAACCTTTTTCATCTGGTGGCACACATAAACTAATTACTAAAGTTCTGTGGCACACCAGAAGTATATTTTTTGCCAATATGACAAAGAAATGGGTATAATCTTGACTGATTTACACAAAAATAAAAATAGTAATTATCCCTTTTTGCACCAAAGTGACTTTTTAAAAAATCAGGTGCCTATACTTATACTTCTATATAAGGATTTCTGGTACCAAGAATTAACCAAGCAGACATGACCAATAAGATGCAACTCTATTATATGACCTATATATTTATGGTTCAAGACAAGGGCATTCACTCCAGATGGCTATTGTGTTGGCTGTTGCTTTTTAAAAAATCTGATGATCTAAGGGTAAAGAAGTCAATGCCCCTGACTAAAACAGTCAGGTATCACTTGTTTTAAAAAATTCTTGCAACACACTGGTTGAAAAATCGCTGCTATAAAAAAGTGAATTCCTTAAAGGTTTCATGTAAATACATTTCAAAAGCACATGTATATATCCAGAGCACTTTCTATTAAATTTTATTGTGCCTTTTGATCAACTCAAGAATGATGACCTAATTGTCACATGTAAATCCAAATATTAACTAGTTCTCCAAGAAAGCTCCACCTATAGTTTGTCCCTATCACCAGCCCTTTGTCATGCGGCTTTCCCCAACAACAGCTAAGCTAAAACAACTATTTGTATAGAAACTGTTAGCTACGTGGCCAAAAAAGGCCCGTTTCAGCGATTATGCCTGAAGCAACATGAATCAGAAGTATGGATTAAAATACATTTTTATTTCCTAAAATTTGGCTTTTTAACTCATATAATACAGTTGATCCTCACAAATTCAGAATATGTGCCCTGGCTGCTGTGGCTCAGTGGACTGAGTGCCGGCCTGCGGACCGTAAGGGGGCCCGTTCGAGTCACAGTCAGGGCACTGGGTCCTGGGCCAAGTCCCCGGCTGGGGGCGTGCAAGAGATAACTGACCGATGTATCTCTTGCACATTGATGTTTCTCTCCCTCTCTTCCCCCCTCTCTAAAAATAAATAAATAAAATCTTTAAAAATAATTCAGAATATTTATTTGACCCTCAGATTTATCCAGACCCTTTGTTTTCTCTACCTACTACTATTTCTTGCACCTTTTGGCCGTTTCACTGGTTAGTGCCACTAAATAACCAGAAACACAATTAAAGAAAAAGGGCAGAACTGGTAAGCAGTTCTCATCAATAAAAATACCAGTCTTACTTTCACAAAGCAAAACCGCACTTTAGTTTACTTCTGTGGTCTACAATCACAGAGGCCAGTCCTTCTGGTACCATCATCCCTTGTGCCCAAGTGTCCCCACCAGTCTTTGCCAATAACCCGCCTCCAGCACTCTATCCTCACCGCAAACCCAGTGTACCACAGTCTGAAAGGCTTTATCCGTAGGCATGGATTTGGGCCACAACGCTATAGGCTGTGTGTTCCCGAGTTGGAAACACAAAAAAAGCAATATCATCAAACTGGATAGAAGAGTATAAAAGACAGACCATGGGAAGCCTACGTTATAGAAGCTCAGCATATGGAAATCCTGGGAAATAAAGATGGAAGCAGAAAAGGCACCCTAAAAGGCCTTAGAACCAAATTATGTTATCTCCATAGAAACAAGAAAAAAGAAAGGTTTCCCTGCCTGAAAGACTCACCCCTGTCTCATACCATTTCTCGAACCCTACTCCACTGCAGAAAGTCCCTGTAAGACTTTTCACACCCTGGCTGGTGTGGCTCAGTGGACTGAGCACCAGCCTGCAAACCAAAGGGCTGCCAGTTTAATCCCCAGTCGGGACACACGCCTAGGTTGTGGGCCAGGTCCCCAGTAGGTGGCATGTGAGAGGCAACCAACTGATGTGTATCTCTTGTACACTGATGTTTCTCTCCCTCTCTTCTCCCTCCCTTTCTCTAAAAATAAATAAATAAAAATATTTTTTAAAAAAGAGAGACTTTTCATTCCAAAACTAGGGAAAGAAAGGTGGCTTAAAGCTACAAAATATCTAGTAAGCCTATTTGTTGACAATAAAACCAAAAAGCACTAAACTTGAGAAGGCACCAAAGAGCCCATTCTGTTAATGAAGTCTATTTATTTTCATCTAATCTGGGATACAAAAAAATCCAAGGGCAGAAGTAGTTCATACTCAAAGGATGAAACAGAAAAGAGCAGGCAACAAGAAAAAAGACAGGGAGATGTGTATGACAGGATGTGGTTCACGGCAATCAGCTGCTTTAGGTGCCACTTGGCACCCGCCACGCCACAGGCTGCACACCGCCACCCTGAAATGTGGCTTTCAATTTTCCGTACCTTCATCCTGTTAGGGTTGACCACTGAGAGATGCTGGATAACTGTTATCCAGAGTGATGCCAAAATTTAGAGATCCTATAGCTTTTACTGCAATCATGGTCATGGGTCCCCAGACAACTTACCATGTGTCGGCGGAGTATTGTTTGACTCTTCATGTATTTTAAACAGAATTCACACATATAGAGACGTCCCAGTCGTGCATATTCCTCAGGATAGGGAGAATGGTACCAAGTATCAAGCTCATAGCGACCAAAAGCAATTGTTTTAATCATGTTGCTCCCCTCTGTGATTTGGCCTTGCAGCCTTAGCTTCTCCTAATGCAGAGGAGAGAGAAATCACCCGTCAAAGGAGGATGAGAATGACAGCTCACACTTGAACAATGTGGTGAGTTAGAGGTACCGGCCCCAACCCCCACTGCAGTCCAAAATCAGTCTGTAACTTTTAACGCTGCCAAAACTTAAATACTAATAGCCTGTTGTTGACTGGAAGCCTTGTGGATAACATAAACAGTTGATTAACACATATTTTGCATGTTATATACTGTAGTCTTACAATAACATAAGCTAGAGAAAAGAAAAAATACATTTGCAGGATTTACTGAAAAATGTCCACGTTTAAGTGAACCCATGCAGTTCAAACCCATGTCATTCAAGTATGAACTATAATCATCTTTGGTTTTGTAAGCTTGTGTGCATGTCACCATGCTAGGTTATGAAAAAATAAAGACACAAATGGCTTCTAAACTCACGAGAAACCGAAGGAGGATACATAGACATGGGCAACCAGGAAGCTCACTGCAAGTCTCAGTAAAGAACAGCTTTTCCCTTCTACCTACTACACTTGGAGTCTCATCTCTCGAACATCACAAATCTCTGGTAAAATTTTGTTTTTGTAAGCCTGAGCCAAACTGAATTACAAAAGGCAATCTACCACAAATAAAAATCCCCCACCTTTACAAAACATTCTAAAACTAAACAGAAAGGATTATCTAGAATGTGCTTTACATCTGCAGGAACTTTTATAAAGCTATGTAGGCCTGCATGACACAAACTCACCCTCTCAACCTAGGTCCTTTAAAAATAATTTTTAGGCATAACCAGGCGAAGCACTGAGAAAGGCTAGCCTAGGAAATGGTCTGGTTCCAGAGTACGCGTAGAGGGAACCAGCAGTAGCAGCCCATCCCAGCCAAGAGAGCAAGCAAGCCCTGATGCCTACGAAACTTTCAACAAGCCTATTGAAGGATTTTTAAATCAAGTAAGTATTCAATACAATCTATAAAGAGAGAGAGAGGTCCACTTTACAGAGGTTCCCTGAATACATTTAATCGATCCCAATTTTCAGTAAGCGTACTTGTTGGAACAAAGGCTGCCTAGAATATCAAAACTAAACGTTAACAAACTGTCAGTAAAAATCAGAACAGAAAACCAACTTAATCTGTAAAACTTGGACGTGTCAAACATTCACACTAAAGTATCTGACAAGCGCCCTTCCCAGCACCCCATCACCCCTCTTCACGACTCTTTCAGAGCGGCACGGAGGGCTGAGGCAACCCTGCAAAGGGGAGTTCCTGTTTGGGTTAAGAGAACAGCAGGGGGTATCCCCCAGTCTACAGGTTCTCCGAATTGCAAATTACTCAACTGAGACAAAGGGGCACCCATTGTTTTATCCAGCTACCCATCCCCAACGGGTCCTTCCAGTAATTGAGGTGGAGGGAAAAAATTCTAAGGGCTGAGGGAAAGGAGGAGGGGTAGTTAATTTTAAATATGAACAGGAGGGGATACACTCTCACAAAAGGATGGCTGGGGGAAGGGGAAAGACGTTCGAGCAGCAAGGTCCATTCAAGCAGCAAGGTCCATCCGATTCCCGTCAAACTGATTGCTAACCATTTTCCTTGGCAGTTCTAAGTGCTCGTCACAGTGGTCCTCCGCTGGAGGTTTTAATACCCACCAAATCCTCCGAAGCCCGGGCTTGTGCTCTTCGGAAAAGATCCAAGTCATACTCGCTAGTCAGGTTTTCCAAAAGAGGTTCCCGAGTGTTCCCATAGGTCTGCCTGTGTTCCTAGGAAGACAACCAGAGCATGATATTCTCTACTTCTAAGAACATCATCTATTTCATTTCAACTGATGCCAACCAGAGGACCAACCTATTTTTTTATTGCCTTCTATTTGCCAGGCAATACACTAGGCACTATGGATTTGGAACATACTATTGATCAGGCACACTAATGCCAGAAGACACCTATTACCCACTCTGGTGAATCTGGAAGGGAAATGCTCTTACAACCTCTCCAAAAGGGAGCTTTCATTCTTCTCTGTCTCTAAATAAGCCCCTTAAGGAACGCTATGTGCCTGCCCATTTCTCCCTGTGAAAATGTGCACAACAGTACAAATAAATAAAATATAACAAACCCAAAGGCATTACAGATTCCTAGAACCCTGAGATCTGGAAGAAACCTTGGTGGATACTTCCCCGTTTAAAAACTACAAAACAAAATAACAAATCTTTAAGCCTATAGTCTAAGATTTTAGTAGACTGAAAGGAAAATCTGCAGGTAGGAAGGGGCAGTTGGACGAAATGGTCTTTTGCAAATTCTTTCCTTTGAACTATTACACTGTCCGCCAAAGGCACCGTAATGCTCTCACTTTGGAACTCCAGCCCAAGTACAAATGAAAAACAGGCTCACCTCTCTGCAAAGTATTTTACTAAATATTAAGCAAGAACGAAAGAGAGAACAGTCAAAGAAAATTAAAAGCATAAAAATAACCCAGTTTTAAAAACTACCAAATCTTACCATGGCACCTACTACAAGTATCCTTTCACAGGAAAGAAGTTCCACAAAGGAAATTTTCCTTTTAAACCTTTGATTCTAGCCCTTCCCACTCCATCACAGACTCCACCTCCCATCCACAGAATAGAAGATAATGGTAGTTAGGTGGAGTGAATGGCCCATCCCAGGAAGAACATCATAGACTTCACACAACCATTAGCACATGAAGAAACCATTCACTCCTAGTAAAATTTCTTAGGGTTAATTTCGGCCCACCTGATGGATATCTTTTTGAATGTGGACTCTGTCATCCAAGATTTAGGTTCTAAATATTAGTTATTTCTTCTAGTTTCAGGAACTTTTTTCCTATCACCACAGATTAGTTTTACCTACTCTAGAAGTTCTTATAAATGGTAACCTTTCTTTTTAAAGCTTCAAAAAAAAAAAAAAAAAAACCATCCACAGCCTTTTCACCAGGAGGCTGGGTCCAAATAACCACTCAAACTACTGGAAAGCAGATGTTTGTAAGATAAATTTCAGGAGCTTTTTCTTCAGACACTCTTCCTACTGCTATGATTCTGGGCAAATTACCTCTCTAACCCTGTTTCCCATCTATAAAATAGGTGAAACACCATCTACCTATGCTACAAAGATTATGGGAGCAACATAACCACAGTGCCTAGCAAAAATGGTAAAAATGGTAAAAAAAAAAAAAATCAATAAATGGTATTACATGCGTATCATTACACCTCTACCCAATTTGTAGATAGAAACATTTAACAAGACAGAGAAGAACGCAACGTGGCACCCTCCGGCCCACTATAGAGCCCTCCCTCCACAAACCCAGCACAGCCTGGCGTGGGTGTTCAGCGCCAAATTCAGCCCGCAACCCACACTCGTCGCACACCAGCCCGTTTCCACTTATTCATAAAGCCGCCTTCAAGACGGTGATGCCTCCCAAGAAAGTGAATACACAGTGTGGCGTAGTTTTGTCTTAGTGAAGCCATGCTGACTGCCTAGTCACAAACCATACTTCTAATAATTTACTCTAATGACTTCCAACTGAAAATGAAACAATTAGAAACAAAAACACACCTCAGAAAGAGACCTCTAGATCACATTCCAAAATGTTAACAGTGGTTTATGCAATATCGTGGCGGGTAATTTTTATTGGAATTTTTCTTCCCTATTTTTTATTTTCAACAGTAAGCATTCGTTAACAGGTTTATAATAAAGTGACTCTTCACTTAAAATTGAATTTATGCAAAAATTTTTGACGAATTTTTAACAAAATGAGAAAATTAGTTCAAGATATTAAGTGAAAACAGAATTCAAAGATGTACTTATAGTAATAACCAAATGATGTAAATAAGGTATTATGTAAAAAACTAGGGGGACATCTGCCCTACCCAGTGTGGCTCCGCGGACTGAGTGCCGGCCTGCAAACCAAACGGTCACTGGTTCAATTCCTAGTCAGGGCACACGCCTGGGTTGTGGGCCAGGTCCCCGCGCGGGGGGTGGAGTGGGGTGGGGTGGGGTGGGGTGCGGTGGGGCGGGGTGCGGTGGGGTGGGGTGGGGCGGGGCATGGGAAACGCTACCACACACTGATGTTTCTTTTCCTCTCTTTCTCCCTCCCTTCCCCTCTCTACAAGTAAAAATAAATAAAATCTTTAAAAAAAAAAACAAAAAACCAACTAGGGTACATCCCAAAATGCTAAGGCTATTTTTAGGCAGTAGGATTAATGTATATTTCTGTACCCTTTTCTTAATTGTTCTATATTTTCTACTGCAAATGTGCATTAATTTTAAAACTAGAACAAAAAACTTTAAAATACCACAAAAAGATTTATAGACTATATCACCGAATAAATATCTTTCATTATGCAGGAATTTCATTTTTCCATCAAAGTAAGTGGACTACAGCTTAACTTGAATATTTTTCCTTATACAGACATTGTGGCATTCGTTTGAGTGGGTAAATTTAACCTTTTAAAGCTAAAGTAAAACTTATAAACAACGAGAGGATTGAACTTTTTTTTTCATCTAAATTCTAAAAGTATTTTGTTTTTGGAAGACCTCTGGTTTCCACCCTTACCAGCCTGGTTCGGGGGAACTGCAGTAAATTCCAATTGCCAGAGAAGATTCCTTCTACTTATAGAAAACACCAAACAGCAGATCTAAAAAACAGAAGGTCAGAAACCAAAAGGAGTTCATACTATTAAAATATTTAACTTTTTCTCACCATATATTTCTCTTTCTGTTCTTTGCTCAGCCCAGAATTTCTTTTCTTCCTGAGTTCAGCAACTTTTTCCTTATATCGCAGCTGCCTCTCTGTTGGTGCCTTAAAGGAAGAAGGAAAAAAACTGATAAGCTAGCTAGAAAACTTACGTGCAATTAGTTGCAAAATAAAAGTAACAAGAAAAAAAAGGGCAGGGGATGTCAGATGTGTTACAACCACCCACCCCCCCCCAAAAACTGTTAGCGATTTTAAAATTCCTGATCCAGTGTTCCTGTCCCTTAAGACCACTGCCCTGTCAGTTAATAGGAGTTCAGGAATGTACTTATTTTAATATTAACCCAAACACAAATTAAGGATGGTAGTCTCTACCAATGCAAAAGGAATAAAATAAAGATCATTTCAATAAGATTTATCAAAAGCTTACTGTTTTCCAAACACTGACACAAAAATGAAAAAAAATTTAAAAACTGAGAAAGAGCAGAACTCAAGATAGACAACGAAGTGAAGTGTAGCTACAACTTACAGAGTGCTTATTACCTGCCGAGCACTGGGGATAGGTACCTTATTATGCATGACTTAGCTGACTACCCTGCCAGGTAGGTATCATTCACTCCTTTTTATTAACAAGGAAATCAAGTTTAAGGTAGTTACCTGACCTGCCCAAGACCACACTGCTAGAGTAAAAGAACCAGTGTTCAAATTCAGATCTGCTTGGCTCCAAAGCCAAACTTCTCCCTCAATGCCGTGCTTCCTCTGCTATCCAGCTATAATCTAACCCCAAAACAGACATCATATGATGAGCTAGGTATACACAATATGTGACAAGCACTAAACTAACATTCTGAGAATGTTACAGTGGAAATGCATAAAGAAGAAATTCATTAATTGTAGAAGTTTTGGGAAGAGTTTCTACAATAGCTGAGAGTTGCACAAGGCCTTGAAGGATAAATACACTTTCTTCTTGGTATACGTATAGAATTCGGAGCAGAAAAACAGCAAGAATAAAGACCAAAGGCATTCAGGAAGGAACAAGGAATTAATGCTCAGAGAGGTGGAAGAATTAGGGTAAAGAAGCATCTTGGAATTCAAAGGAAGAGAGAAGGAGAAGAAAAATGGCATCAACAAATGTCAAATGCTAAGGAAAAGTCACTGGTGATCTTGGAAATGTGCCAGCAGATTGGAAGGGTTTGAAGATAAATTACAATGGGTTAACAAGCAGATGCAAAATGAGGGAAAGACAGCAGGAGGTGTAATCTTTCAAATAATCGAGATTATCTTTTACTATTATATGTTATCACTCCGATTATTATATATTGCATGATTCCTTCATTTATGATGTGGAAGTGTTTGTTTCATGAAAACTTGCTATTTGAAAAACAAATACGATTCTGAGTTTGACTAAAGACCACTTACTTAGACATACCATAGAAAACAAGAGGCATGGAATACTAAGACAGTCATGGGCAGAGGATATCCAAGACTTGGCTCTCAAACTGTGAATGGCCAGAGCTTTAACAAGGGCCGTACCTGATGCCTGGTTGCATGCCTGTTGTTGTCATCTTGCCTGTGGGACAGCATCCTTTCTTCTATCTGCTTATCCCGGCTCTGTGCTCTCACCTGCAACCATCAACAACGTCAATAAATCCACCTGCCTCTACAACTATATTTACTTAATGTGTAAGAATACAAGAACAAATCCTCTGAATTTATGCGGTGCTTTTATTTTCAAAGGGTCTTCACATTTATTATTACAAAATCTGTAAGATATAGGAAAGGCAAGCTTCACAATCTGTCTTCCCAGCCATTAACTGAGAATCAGAGAAGCCAAATAATTACAGCTAAATCGTGGTGGTAAAGCTAAGAATTTAATTAAAGTTTAACTGATAACTCTGAGCCTGGACTCTTTCCACTGTATAGTGAAAACGAAACATTATAAGGAAGTGCAAGAACAGAGTGAAGAAGTATAAAGAAAATGTTAGATACCTGGGGTCAAATCTACAGGGAAACTTAACTCCGTAGTCATGAAAAATCACATTAGCTCCCCAACTGTTTCAGTTTCATCTTCTGGGAAATAAGGACTCATATACAACTGTCTACCCAGCTTCAACAGTCAAACTCAGCATGGTCAAAACAGAAGACCACCATTCTCCCATAGATCTGTTCCACCCCAAGTCTTCTCTACATCAATAAAGAGCAACTCTCACTAAACAAGTGATCAGGTCAAAAACTTGAATGTTGTACTTGATTTTTTTTTTCTCCTACACTTCATGTCAAATTCATTAGCAAGTCTATTAGGCTACTCCCCTCCAAAATATATCCTAAATCCAACCAATTCTTCTTACTATTTCCACTGATACAACACAAGTCCAGACCACCATCTACTGCCTGAACTTCAGAGCAACCTTCCATCTAGACTACCCTGAGTCAACTCTTCCCCTTCCAGTCCACTCTCCGCACACTAGCAAGCTGTGATTTTCGAAAAGGGTTTAAGAAGATACATCACACCTCTGCTAAAGCCCTCCAGATGCTTCCCACAACCACCAGAATACAAACACACTCCTTGTGCCAAGACCCACAGGTCCTTTATGATCGGGATCCAGCTTCCTCATTTCCCATCATGCTCCAGTCACCCGAGCCAAGTTCTGGTCCCTCAAACCCAACAGTTTATCCCCACCTCACAGCCTTTGTGCTTGTTCATTCTTCTACTTAGATCTCTCTTCCTAGATCTTGACACAACTGCCTCTTTGTTGTCAGCCATGGCTCAGATCAAATGCCAACACCTCCAAAAGGTCTTCCTAACAACCCAAGCAAAAGCAGAGCCATACCACCCCCCAAAACTCCAAAGCAGTCACCTTCTGTATCTTTAGTCTTTTTGTTTCTTACATTTACAGCTACATGAAATTCTTATTACTTATGAATTTATATGTTGATTTTGCCTCCCACTATGAGAATGTAAACTCCTTTGAATACAATAGCCTTTTATCTCATTCACAGAATCCTTAGATACCAACAGTGTTTGGCACATGCCATCAAAGAACTCTAGGACCGATTAAACATGGTCATACCATTGATGGCAATCATTTACCAGGAAACTCAGAGTAATCACACATATGCAAGTACTTGAAAAATGTTAGAGCTTTTAATAAATGTGAAGAATCAGTTTAATCTCTCCATTTGGGATTCTAAACATAATAAAAATATGTATCTCCCAGAAACTATCCTGATTCTCCAAACACATGTTCCAGTGGTAAAGATAGAGTATGTGGAGCCTGACTCCCCTCGAAAAGAAAAGCACAAAAGAGGAAAAAATCAGGTAGTCCTTTCCTTTTATTCAGAATTCTCTTCCACAACTGAAATTTAAATTTTTCTTTTTAAAAAATAAATTGTTTAAGGTAACATGTTCCTACTGTTACAGGCCAACAATTTTAAGTTATACCTTAGGAAGACTTTCTTGTAAAACCATTGACAGTATCAGATCATTCTATTTAGAAATAAGAGGTAGAAGACAACTCTCAAAAACCAGAGATCACAGCTATTTTCAGAGAAGGAAGCGCGTAATGCCTTCTTAGCTTTGATGCAGATGTTGGCATAGATGCTCCTCTTTGGACCTACTCTCAGACTAACGGGAAGACAATAGGAAGAATAACAGGAAGACCTACCACTTTTAAATAGGGCAGAAGCAACTGCCTTGCTTATATAAGAGATCTGGAATAAAGAAAATACAAGTGTCCTCAACCTTAAAATCCATATAAGCACTGACAGTATACTACTTTGCTGAAAGACTGAACACATAAAGAAACTTTCCATCCTGAGTTCGACAAGAACAAATCCCCTGAATTTCTCGAGAGAACAAATTGCTGAATCAGGGAGAAGTTATGTTAGCTGGGGAATCTAATTTTTCTCAGGATAAAACAGCCTCAGATAAGAATAAACCTGTGACCCTGAGCTTAGTAAAAAAATAATAAACACAAAAACAATACTTTGTTTTAAACAGCTTGGATAACCTGTACAAATACTACCTGAGCAATTCATTTATAGTAATTAACAACATTTTTAACTCTTGCTTCCTTGTACGTAGTTTTCTGGTTCATCCTTGGTAGCAGGAACTCACAGAGAAACACATAAAATACGATCTTAGGTTCTACTCCTAAATCTATTATTCTAAAATCACAAAGGTTATTTAAGACTATGTTTTTCAAGAATTTAAAACAAGAATTAACCAAGAGTAGGTGTGATTGAGAGTAACAAAAAGAGTGTTCCACAGAAAGAGACAAAGAATTATGAAAAACTTTTTAAAAATCCTAACCCAAGGATATGCTTATTGATTTTAGAGAAAGGTAAAGGGAGGGAGAGAGAGAAGGAAACACTGATGTGAGAGAGAAACATCGATCAATCACCTCTCCTATGCCTCGACCTAGGGACCAAACCTGCAACCTAGGCATGTGCCCTGACTGGGAATTGAACCCATGACCTTTCAGTTTACATGATAATGCTCCAATCAGCCCTACTGGCCAGGGCTGAAAAACTTTTTAAAAGCAAATGTCTTCATAGATTTATAAGAAGAGAACCTAATGCGGAAATATCGAGAACACATATTTATGCAAATAAGTCCTCAGTGAAAAAGGTTCCTAGCAGACTTTTAAGTTAACTTTCAATGAAAAATAATGCACTAGATGCACTGTGATGTTCCAAATATTCTACAGATAAGCTCCTTGTTAATTTCTGTCAAAGCACTCATTACATGCTATAATTAATTCTTTTGTCTAACTATTGTTTTTTAAAACACAATTGTTTTTTATGTTTCCCCAACTACAATTTTCTTAAAAAGATTTTATTTATTTAGCCCTGGCTGGTGTGGCTCAGTGGATTGAGCACCACTGAGAACCAAAGGGTCGCCAGTTCAATTCCCAGTCAGGGCATATGCCTGGGTTGTGGCCAGCTCCCCTTTGGGGGGGTGCACGAGAGGCAACCACACATTGATGTTTCTCTCCCTCTCCTCCCCTCTCTCTAAAAGTAAATAAATGAAACCTAAAAAAATTTAAAGATTTTATTTATTTACTTTTCGAGAGAAGGGAAGGGAGGAAGAAAGAGAGGGAGAGAAACATCAGTGTGTGAGAGATATATCAATCAGTTGCTTCTCACACACTCCCAGCTGGCGATCTGGCCTGCAACTCAGGCATGTGCCCTGACTGGGGTCCGAACCGGTGACCTTTCAGTTTGCAGGCCAGTGCTCAATCCACTGAGCCACACCAGCCAGGGCCCCCTCTAGAATTTAAGAGCGAGAGCCTTGTCCATTGTCCATACTGGATCCCTATTGTTTTGCAAAGTGTCTGGCAAATGGTAAGCACTCAATAAACACATGTTGAGTAAATGAGAACACAATTACCTTGCATTCGTCAGCTGAGAGGTTATGATAGAGCGGGCATCCTGAGATGGAGAAATGTCTCTCATGTTTTCCTGTAAGATGTCCTGTTAAAGGAGGGGAAAACAATCTCAAGATAGAAGATTTAAACTTAGAAAGTGCTATTTTTTCTCAAAAACAAAAACAAACAAAAACCTGGTTTTTGTTCCTGGGGTGTTTTCCTGCTTTATCATGTTTATTAAATATATATCTGGTCAAACAGATTGAATTAGACAGATCAAATCCATCAAAGGTAAGTGCTGCCAGGGCCACAGGTTGCACCCACAATAAATTCTTTTATTCCACAGGCTGGATATCTAGCAATATTTGAGCCTACTTGCATATGTTGAGTATAAATTGTAATTCCTTCTATTCTCATGACGTATTTCTCAAGTTCTAAGTTGTCATAAAGCCATATGTTTACAATAAAGGCACAAAATCACAAGCAGGAATATTCTCTCGGTAGAATTTAACTTTCTTATGTTAAATGGATCAAGTCATAGGTGTAACAAGTATACTTTTCATTGCAATTCTATCCTACCTGATGAACTTCTTTTATAATCAACAGAAACTTATAAAAAATGGAGAAGGAAATGGTCTTTCCTATCATATAAGTACACATATTTTGATAATTTTGGACAAAATTAAACATATTCATTTTTTTGGAGGGGGGCACTGGTTTTGTTTAAAGATTTAGGCTTCTTCCATAACCAAACTTTTAAACAGGCAGTTTGCAGAAGGACCTCTGACGAGGATGATGAGAACATTATTTCCTTTTTAGCATATCTTCAACCAAAAAGTTTATAAAGCACCTAAGACAGAGAGGGATGGTAAGACACTGCTAGTGGGATAAAAAAGATAAGTTGGCTAAGCTAAACTGCAAGCCTGCGAATATCTGTATTTTTCTTTCGTGGAAAAAAAAAAGACATTTAATTTTGAGTAAAGGAGACACGGGGATTTAAAAAATTATACAATGCAATTTATAGAATAAGCTTTAAAGGGCAAAATAGTCCAAGTTCTGAAGAAGAAGGGAATTAATATATGATATACAGTGCCATTTCTCTGGAATTGTATTATTAAAAATATAATTTCAGAATCCACACAACTTATCTTAGGCACAAAAAACTACCCTCAGAGGTCAAACACTATCTATAAAATGTAAAGTGTCGCTGCTACCATGTGCCCTTTTAGATATTATGCATCTATAACTGCTGAGCAAATTATCCAAGTCATGTCTTATTTTAGAATACGTCACCTAAAACCAATTTAATATGTCTACATTAAAAATTTGAAAACAATAGCTGATCTAGCAGTTCCACAGCTATGAATTTATCTAAAAGATTTTCTGGAAAGACACCAAAATACACACATACAAAACTATCCATTACCCTGTTGTTCAAAATAGGTAAAAATGAGAATCTAAATGTCACTCAACATAGAACAATTTAAATAATTTATGAACTATCAATACAATGGAATTCTTTGTATTGTCTAGGTGCTAATAATGTAAAATATCCAAGATGTCAAATCAACCACTGTGCATTTTTTTATGAATACTAAAAAAAAGTCTGTATGTACATATATGAGTATTTTTTTCAATCCTCACCTAAGGATATGTTTATTGATTTTAGAGAGAGGAAGGGAGAAAGACAGGGATGTGAGAAACCCATGTGAGAGAGAAACAGTGATCAGCTGCCTCACATACGTACCCTGACTGGGTGGGATCAAACTTGCAACCTTTCCGTATAAGGGACAATGCTCCAACTGGCTGAGCGACCCAGCCCGGGCCTTACTGAATATTTTCCATGGGACAGACATTTTTTTAAGTTCTGGTGATATAGTTGGGAATATGTCAAAATCCCAAACCTCTTGGAGGCAACTAACCAAGGAAGACAAACCAGATAGATATGTATTCAACTAGAGATACACGGTGTGGAGGAAAGTAAGTCTCAAGTGCAGACAGGTTAGGATACTGTTTGTGCATTGCACACACAGTAGGATGGGGAAAGCCACCCTCATAATGTGACATTTGAGCGGAAAGAAGTGAGAAGGAGCCATACGAGTATCTGGGGAATAAGCGCTAAGCTTGGAGGGAAGCGCGAGTACAGCGGGGTCTGGGACAGGAGAATACTTAACAGAGCAGCACCCCTGGGGCCAGTGTGCCCAGAGCGGAGTGACCAGAATGGAGAGGACGAGATGGGGTCAGACTGTGCGTCAGTTCTGCCAGGACAAGCCCCCGTAATGAGGCAGACCAGAGGGTAAATACGAATCTGCTGCATTAGAGGAAAGTTTACTTTGACTCTTGGTTTTAACGTGCTGGCACAGTGTGAAAAGTATGAACCTGAGCTTACAAAATTATTACTGATCCTTATCTTAGGCCAAACAATGGCATTAACTTTAAAAAAACAATTTTGGTATAAAACTATTATGTGCTTGTGAAAAGTTAAAACCCTCCAGGAAAGCCTGAAGTGCCTAAGTAAAAGTTCTCCTTCACCTGCATGCCTGAGATAATAGGAACATATATATTCAGTTAGTACGTATTGAATGACTAAACATAGTACATAAAAAAAAGTAATAATTCAGGGATGCATGGATAGTGACTAGCAAAGCTGAGGAAAGTTCCCTCCCTTCCTGAGTAGCTAGTAGATCCCCTAATCATCTTAAAGCACATTAGCTATCTCTTGCTTGTACTGGGGTTTATATGATGTCACCTAACCTTGGTTTTTCATTATTTATCCCAAGGAAATTGACTTGGGCCTGACAGTTATCGTGGATGACAACTATTACGGCATTCAGACGAGCTTCTGCTCTGTTTTAGGCATTTGGATGGGTTGAATTTTTTTTTAGAAACTGCCGCTAAGACCTGAAACATCCAAATAAATAAAATACTAGGGAAAATGTACGGTAGCCACAAAGCAACAACTTACTCCGTTCTACCTTTTTTTCTGAACCTGCTAGCCACATTCAAGGCTAAATTTGAGATGCGGACCCAGTAGTAAAAGGCCCCTTATCTCCCAGTCAGCACCTTCCAACCCTAGACAAAAGCTTAAGCCCAACATTCACACCTAAGCTCACCTAGGGAGCACAAATAAAGGTTAAGTCATGGCATGAACCCTCAGCCAGGGTTCAAAGTTTGTCAGAAGACACCAATAAAATACTCATTTATCTGAGAAGAAATGTGTGTCTAGTTTATACTTATTAAATACACAAAGCCACAAGACCTAAAACAACTGATGTCATAAAAGGCCAGAGTCTCATCTGTATAGTCTTTAAGTTTCATTGACTTTTGATAGATATATAATCTGTTTTTCTTATTTCCTTAACAGCTACGGCCATACAACCACTATAATGGAGCTTACACTCCATTAATCCTCATTAAGCTTATACTGTGTACTATACAATGAAATATTGGCAGATTACTGGTCTTCTGGTTCATTTTTACTAGAAAAGGGAGAGGACTTTTCACTGGGAAAAGTTCTCAATAAACTGAATGGTGCATCAGTTAATTTCCAGATCTTTTATCATGGACAATAAGCCACAAAGCAGAAATGCCTTTATTTAAGTGGGCAACAAATTCACCGTTGCTCTGAGCATACGGTCACTGAACTGCCTAAGAAGCCAGATCACAACAGAACACCAAACATTTTTGGGTGACCCTAAATCCAGAGGGAGCGTGAACCACAGAACACAGGGTGTCATAAAGTTGGGGCACACTTACCCAGAGAGTTACAGCCTGGTGTAGGACACTTCATATTAAAATTGTAGCTTTCATGGAAGCGACGGCGCTTAGGGCGATGAGAAAGGTCGCTGCCAGAGTCCTTCAGGGACATGTCCTTGGCAATGCTCTCATCATGAGACACGTTGGGGCTGGAGATGTCTATGTCAGACTCAGAAGAGGGTGCATTTCCAGTTGGAGTTCGAGGCGGAGACTCATCATGATCAACTGCATTTTTAGTTTCTAAAATAAAAGCAATTGGTAGAAATCATGAACAGTGTTCATTTGGTTAACAGTTTATTATTGAGAAGATTTATGGGCTCCCCAAATCCTGTATGATTTGACCAGTAACTTTTAGCCATTTATCTACTACAAAGGTTAAATGAAAAATGAAGAAAAAGGAACACTGTTCTTTTTGTGCAACTTTACATTCTGACTAAAATTAAATTTGTGGTTTACCTAATACTTTCACTTATGTGTGTTTTTCCTAAGCCCCCAATCAGAGCCAATGAAAACTGGATGGAAATAAATTTTTAAAAACATTACCAAACCACTCTATTTCCAGGAGTACACAGGATAGAAGACAAAGGAAAATATTTGTCTTTCTGGATAACACTAAACAGATGTGGTGTGAAAGTGTGAATAGACTTGACTCTAGAGTTAGCCATTGGTAATCTCACAATTCCAAACTCTAAATCATGGGTTGTACACCAAATGCCTACAGGGGCTGAACAAGGCCAAATAGAAAGATGATCGTCAACCTCAAGGGACAACTACCAATTATTACTGGGGTGAATGGTCATCTATTCCCAGAGCTTTCCATTTTGTAAAAGAAACTAATAACCCAGGTTTTCATATAAAATTTCTGTATTTTCAAATATCGGTAACAATTTTTTTTTAAATGTAAATACTGTGCAAGCAAACCAACCAACCATGTTGGCAGGCTAGAAGCTTACCAGTCTGTAATCTCTTCTCAAAGGCCTCTGATTAGGGCTGGTGAATCACAATCTCAATAGCTTACCATCCCCATTACTGAAGGACACCTCTCCTTAGAAATTCAGAGATAACTGGACTGATTAGCAAAGCTGTATGAAAATCTGGTCCATCGACATGGATGGACCATATGATTTCACTTATATGTGGATTCTAAATAACAAAATAAACAAACAAAACAGAAACAGATTCCTAGATACAGAGAACAAACTGAAGGTTACCAGATGGGAGAGGGACTGGGAGGCTGGGTGGAAAGGGTGACAATATTAAGAAATACAAATTGGTAGTTACAGTATAGTCATGGGGATGTAAAGTACAGCATAGGGAATGTAGCCAATAACATTTTGTATGGCGCCAGGTGGGTACTAGAATTATCAGGAAAGTCACTTTGTAAATTATGTAATTGTCTAACCACTATGCTGTATACCTGAAACTAATAAAAAATATTATCAAATGTCAACTATAATTGAAAAATAAAATTAAAAAATTAATTGAAAAAGAAGGAAATCTGGTCCAAGCCTTCTTCATCTGTGCGTAAGAGGTACCCAGTCCCTTTTGCCTGCTGCAGATCCAATCTAATAGATCCAGCTACTCTGGATCTCAAGAAAACTCCAGTACCAAACCGTCCTTCGCAAGGCATTAGAAAGCAATCAGGCAAACAATATGCACCTAGTTGGAATTTTGTCAGGGTTAGGCATCTACCTGCGGTGGCCCCCAAGCCTCCCTTACAAAGAAGCTGACCATGCCCTCTCTGTAATGGGTCCAAATCATACCATGCCCACTCACCTCTATCTGAAAAGTCAATCACTTGCTCAGTTTCTGAGCCAGAAGAACGAGTCTGCCGAAGGGGGTACTTTTTTGGAGTCACTGGCGCAGGCTGCTGCTGACTACGGGTCACCCTCCTGGTAGAATAAACAGGCTCCTCAGTGCCAAAAGACTGCAAATTTCGAACTGGGCTGGAATCTGAAAAGATAACAAAATAATTAAAGAAAAAAGAAGAAACTCTGTTGTATTTCCTATCCATATGATTTATTAGCATGTAGGCCCTCCCTCTTCATATTTCACAAAATCCAACAAATCTTTAAAGTATCTATTTTAGTAAATAAAACATAAGCAACAGAGCCAAGATCAGGCAGAGACGAAATATCATAGAGAATTAATAGTTCAGGTTCTGGAATCAAGGCTGAACATGATTCAATCCACTCTACCATACCAAGTAGCTGTGGCATCCTAAGCAAGCTGAATCTCTCTAAGCCTGTCTCCTCATCCTTAAAAAAGGGAAAATACTAGCAGCACATTCTTCACATGTTTGTTGTGAGGAATAAGTGAGATAATGTATGTAAAGGATTCAACATGATGCCTGGTACACAGATCTAGTGCTTTTCTCCCCTTACTCTAATCTACCATAAAACACATACCCCATTATGGAAGGTATAACAATATACAAACATTTCCTTTCTTCAGGGATCTTTTTTTTTTCTCCCTGATTACCCTGATACCCTAAAGCAAAACCATAATAGATTCATAAAGACTTATGCAATAATATAACTTTTAAAATTCTTTTGGATTGCAAAACCCATTCTGAAGCACCCAGCAGCCTTTCTACATCTCCAAATTGATGACACTTAAAAAAAAAGAATAAAAGAAATTCAAAGCTGAAATTAAAGCATATTTTAAACAAGGAGAAAACTGAAATTCGCCACCTTTTGTGTAAGATAGCACATAGTTGGCTTATCCGTTTGCACACCTCCGGGGGCTACGTTTACACTGCAGTCTACATTTTGCTTTAGAGAGGGCTGCCTAACATAGGCTACATTGTGAATGGTGTCCCCAGCAGTTGTGCAACGCCGTGACCACAAAGTATAATAACTAGAAAGAGACTCAGAGTTCGTGCACTTCCTGGCTGTTCTGAACACTTAAAACTTTTAGGTGTCCAGGGCATGACCAATTATACCTTCTAAGAACATTATGAACTTTCCTTTGAATATACTGTTCCTTCTGCCTATAACAACACTTCCCCATTTTTCAACTTGTAAATTCCTACTAGATCCTTTAAAATTTCCACCTGGGAGCCCTGCCCTCACCTGGCCACCCCATTTCTTGGCTTCCATAGTAACCCATGCAAAGCGTTCTCAGAGTCCTTACCACAATGCATTACAATGATCAGTTTACATATCTGTATCTCACCCTAAACTGAGCAGTCCTTGAGGACATACACAGATTTTTCTCTCATGGCATTCCAGCTCATGGCACAGCACCTGAATTAACAGTAGCCATTTATCAATATTCCCATTGTGCTAAAAATAAAACTTAAAAATTGAGAAATGAAGAGACAACAGCTATAATTCAGCTGAAATGTTAAACTCTAAAATAAAGTTAGGAACATTTGTTAAGAGAATACTCTCACTTTCTTGCTTGAAAAACTGTTTTTTCTCCTCTAATGCTCACACAACAGTAACCAAATCAGCACTATTTAAGTGCTCCAAGTATATTGCTTTTTTCCCCCCTTAATATATTATCACCTGTTGATCATCAGCTTTCTCTATTAATGCAACCTTGTTGCCCCCCCAGAGAATCCCAGAGCAGAGCCAGGAAGGATCAGGGGTACCTTCCAAATCTAAGCCCAGATGTCTAATTGCACTAGAGAAACTTTTAACACTGAAATTATCTATCCTTTACTACCACAGAAAAATTCTGGGTACTTACAACTTAAAATTGAGTCAACTGACTATATACAGAATTAAACAAGGTTTTAAAAGTACTGGGCCCCCATCAATAACAAGTTCAGGAGACTATGTTAGAGTCTCGAAATCTACACCATTCTAACAGAAAGTGAAATTATAACATTTCCACTTCACTGACAGGGAAACTGTAATCTAAAAGAAGTTAAATCAGCAGCCCCCAACCTTTTTGGCACCAGGGACCAGTTTCATGGAAGACAATTCTCCCATGGACCGGGGTGGGGGGTATGGTTTCAGGATGATTCAAGCCCATTTACATTCGGGCTCACCTCCTGCTATGCAGCCTGGTTCCTAACAGGCCCGGACCTGTAGCAGTCCATGGCCTGGAGGTTGGGGACCCCCGAGTTAAATGACTCAAGACATACATGTGTTACACATTCATTGTACCAAACATAATTCTTTTGGGTCTTAAAATTGGACAGCATCCCCCATGGAACCATTTTTAAAGACCTGATACTTGTGTTGTCATTTACCCTGCACTTCACCAGATTCTGGCATCTATGTCAAGCCACGGGACCAGTTTCCACATTAACACAATGTGCTGACCAGTCAGTCAGTTGTGAGGTGTGGTCGGGAAGATGGAAGCCTTTTACCTTGGGAACTCTGGCTCAGCCGGGCTGAGGAGCGGGTGATCCGGGCAGATCGCCGGGAGGTGCCATCGCTCTCTGAACTGTCTGTGTGCTCGAGATCTGTAGAAAAATCGGAATCTTCGGTTCCATCTGAACTACTGCCTGCATTCCTCTGTAACACCATAGATCCAGACATTAGCACAGAAGCATTTACTCTGAGGGTTTGCATTAACACTAGAAATAAAAATGAACCATGATGCTGAAAACATGAAGTTCAAACCTAAGAAAGGATTCCACAGCTAACTTCCCTTTATTTAGAACATTTAAATGAACAACCTACAAATAACTTACCTTTATTAAATAAGTGAAGAGAGGGTTAATTCTTCCTGTATTAAGACTAATTCTAAAACAAACCCATTTGGAGGTCAGTATCACAAACTGGATATAAAAGTACCCAAATCGAAATGATCTGGTTGACATAACCATGCACTTATAGAAAGTCCAAGGAAGTGTGAAAAATATTAGTGCTTGACCCCATTTAATTTTAGGGTAGCTCTTGTTCAAAGTCTCTATGAACAGCTATCACACTTTAAAAAGACATACACTAATTCAAAATATCATGGTCTGTAACTCTGATTCCAAAATCACTCTGATTCCAAAAGAAGAGTAAAATTCTTCTTTCTTATGTTATCTACCTTTGAAGCTTCCCCATATGAATGCCAAAAGGGATTTAAAAAAAAAGTCACTTGCACAAGAAGCCTTGCAGATATTCATAAACAGAGGATTTTATCATCTTTTCAATTAAAAACTGTTAGTTATTAGCCTCATAGGGCATGATTAGCCATAATGATAACGTTTATCTCTTCAGTAGTAACACTATATATACTGTACTGAACAAGAAAGGGAAGAGCATTTACAAAAAAAAAAACCACCAACAACAAAAAACAAAAAAAACCAACACACAATACAAAGCTTCACACTACAAGGCCCCTATTCTTTATTCAAAACCCTTAGGGGCCCTGGCTGGTGTGGTTCAGTGGGTTGAGTGCCAGCCTGTGACCAGAAAGGTCACAAGTTCGATTCTCAGTCAGGGCACATGCCTGGGTTGCAGGACAGGCTCCCAGTTGTAATCAATCGATGTTTCTCTCACACATCCCTCTCTTTCTCCCTCCTTTCCCCTCCCTCTAAAAAAATAAATAAATAAAATCTTTAAAAACCCTTAGGGATCATTGTATTTAGAATTCATAATTTTATAGATTTTTTGAAAGGGAATACTTTCAATAATACCCCATAATCAAATATACTGATATTTCTGCAGCAAAATATATAAACAATCACACCAAAGAATACACACAAGCCCTGGCTGATATGGCTCAGTGCGTTGAGCTCCAACCTGCAAACCGAAAGGTCGTTGGTTTGATTCCTGGACAGGGCACATGCTTTTGTTGCGGGCCAGGTCCCCATTTGGGGGTGTGTGAGAGGTAACCGATAGATGATGTTTCTTTCCCTCTCTTTCTCGCTCCCTTCCTCTCTCTAAAAATAAGTAAATCTTAAAAAAACAAAAGATGACACACAAAAACTGTAAGTAGTCTCAGGACAGTTTAGAACAGGATTTGCCACCAAATGAGTTACCAAAAACAAAACAAAACAAAAAAACAACTTACATTTTCAAGAGCTCTTTGCTTTTGGGGAAGCTGTGGACCTATTTCAAGGCACCAAGACTATTCCTGCATTTGGTGAGTCTTAACCTAAACACCTGTTACATCACTTTTTAGAAGATGTTTAAAAATGACCAACATACGTCATTTTTAGAAGACCTTATAAAGTGTAAATGTTTTATATGAGAGCCTCTGTGAAGAAGTCTGCAGAAATGAGCAAGAATATCACCCAGCTTTCCAAATAGTTCATGGGTAATCTGCTCAGAAATAAGCAAAGGCTCCAGGCTTACAAAATCCATAGGATGAAGGGGGTTGTGTGGAAATTAAAGGTCTCCTAGTCCAGTTACACAGATATTTGCATCCCTGATCATCTCTGACCATCCCTTCCTGGCTTGACCTCTTCTCTCTGGCTTACAACAATCTACTACCCATCTTACTCCCAAGCTGTCTTACTTGATCCCGCACCCCCCTTCCATAACACTCTGTATATATACTTCTAAGTAGAGAATTGACTAGATACTTCTACAGTTATTTATATGTCTATCCCACCCCACTCCGGACTGTGATTTCTTTTTTAAGCCAGGGGTTATGTATAATCAATTTTGAATCCCCAGCAATCAACACACTGCAAGTAGTCAACAAAAATGTGTTAAATTAGATTTGTTCTGTGGTGCAGGCTCTGCTATTGCCTAATTGAGTGGCTTGGGACTCTCCTTTAGGCCTCTGTTCAGCTGTAAAAAGAAGGGATGGGGTGTCCCAAGGCGGTTTCGTTAAGACCCATGTAATTCTAGAAAGTTTTTGACTGATGAACCGCACTTTCTAGGCACTGCCCAACTAGGCAAATAAGGAAAAAAAAAAAAAGACTTGTATGTAATAGGCCATAGTTGGATCCCTCGGGAGTGGGCGCTGGTTCCCTACCACCCATTCCCCTGCTTTGTTGTGCCCCCCGCCCGGAAAGGAAGGCTGCTCCAAAACCCCGCCTCTCCACCTATCAGCATCACCAGCCGGAAGGGCGGGGATTCGTGCCACCCAATCGTAGTGCCGCTAAACCGCACCGCCCCCCACAACGGGACAGACTGCCAAGCTCAGCCAATCAAGAGAGAAGGGATCGTTCTCCACAGCCAGTCCGAGAGCTGCAGGGCCGGGCCCAGACACCTCCCCCCCATGCGGGGAGGTAACCGTTGGGCCCAAATGATTGGCGGTGACACCAGCCAATCAATATGCTCCTATCCGTTCCAGCGACCAATTAACAAAAAGAACGCCTCCGAGCCAGGCAAGCAGAGGGCGGGAATAGTTGCAGGCGCAGGCCGAGGCCAGGGTCGGGCCCACATTTTTTCTGTTGGGTACGAACTTAAGAGGGGGTTGCCGAGCTAGGTTTTGGGGAGCGGAAATTTGGAACCCAGGGGCTCTGAGGCGTGATCAACTGCGTCACGTTGCCCAATCGACCGTCCCTAGACACCCGCCATCCCTCCGATCCCGTTCCTCTCACCTTCCTTCGCGGCATTGCCGGCGGCTGCGGCCCGACAGTTCCAATTCGGGCAGCGGCGGCAGCAGCAAGAGGAACGGTGGCTCCGGCGGGCTCCGTGGCGGCCTCTGTAGCAGTCCCAATCCTGCGGACGATCCCAAGTGCCTCTTGCTTTACAGCGTCTACAACCTTCTGCGCAGGCGCCGCGGGCTGAGGCGCTTTTTCCTTCACTTCCGGCTGAGGCTCGCGTCACCTGACGTTGCGGTTCAGATGGGGTGCTGGGAGGTTCGCTCTTGGTGAGGCTAGTGAGCGCCATTTTGGAATTGGGCACAAAGTAAAAACGGGGGCCAGCCATTTTTAGTTAGGGGAATGGCACATTTTGTGGCCGTGGATAGCCATTCTTGTTTGGGGCAGAAACCTGACAGTTGAAGTTAACGGTTCTCATCTTTACCTTGGGCAGAATTTCCTTTCCCTGTCGTTTTAATTTCTGAAGTCGAGGAAGGAAACCCCCAGAATTCATCAGGTTGTTGATATTCCTTCCCTAATTGGCTAAAGGACGTTTCCGTCTATCATATAAACTCAAAATTGAGAAGGGGTACTTTGCACAAAAAACTGTTTTGAGAGCCATCTCGTATCTCAAGGTGGGAATGGAGGTTTGTAAAAGGAATGAAAGGGTAGCGTCCATAATCAGGAATTTTTTTTTTTGTAGGGGAGACATTGTCCTTGCCTTAAGTTAGTCCCTCACGTCGCAGAAGAAGGCAGAACCATTCTCCAGAAGCTGTACATTTAAAAAAGTCCCAATTTAGCTTTATGATGAGCGCGCACCTCCTTCCCCCAATGTGTATGGGTTTGAGAGGCCTGGGTAACCCGTGGGAGCGCGAGGTAGGGTGACGTATCAGAATCGGAAAAACAATGAACCCCGCTTTAGCCCAAGTGACCCTTGGAAATCAGATGCTTGAGCCAGGAATTGGGGGAGGGAAGAAGAGGAAGGAACAGTTTAGTGAAGCTGGAGCTAAAAAAGACACGGATGTTTAAATAATAATAGGGCTTGTTTTGAGAGGGTCAAGGAAGGAGTTGGTCAAGGATACAAGCCTGGAAGAAGAGGATACTGTGGGAAGTGGAGAGCAGGCGTTCAGGATTTAAACTCACTAAAGGAAAAGCCTTGAGAGGACCAAAACTTGGCCAAGAACAACTGGGTGGAACCCAGTTGGCAAGCTCGGTCATTAATTTAAGATTATGGACCCCAATTTCAACTGAGGCCAACTAAAGTGGCGATTTCCCCCAGGTGCAGGCCTAAAGAACAAAGCAACTGAAGGTAAACATCTGATTGATGTGCTCAACAGAGGACTCCGAAGGGTTAGAATTCCAGACCCTTAGCCACCACTCTCCTTGGGGATATCCTGGGCGGGCATTAACACAGGCAATTTTTGGTATTTAATATTTAGTTTTTAGTGTTTCCTATAAATACCTTTGAATAACCTACTTAGTTTGAACTGCACATAAAAACTTACTTGGAAAGGTCTCAAGTTCCCTCTTCCAGTATACCCCTAGCACTTAAGCATTTAATTTCACACTGTTACTGTTATTTTGCACTTACTGGTGTGTGTTTGAGGTCACTCTTGGATGTCTGGCTCCCCAACTCGTGGTCAGGAGCGCTTATGTTAAGAACATAGCTCATTTTTTTATACCATCCATAGAAGTGGCCAGACCATGCTCTTCCCACAGTAAATTCTTCCTAGTCAATGAGAATGTGTTTACTGTTTTATAGTCACTAAATGTATCTCACTCAAAGATGGTGAAATTAGTATTTTAAAATAAGATCTTACCATGCTTAACCATCATACAAGTTCAGCATTACAAATGTTCAACATTAGCTAACACTGCAGCTAACATTAAAACAGTGTACTATTTCATCTAGGCCTGGTTCTGGTCCTTGGAAAGTGAGCACTATGGTGGAAAGATGAAAAAAAAAAAACCTAACACCAATAGGATAGAAATATAATCCTAAGGAAAATGTGTATTTAAGATAAACGTAGAACATCTATGTCTATTTAGAATGGGCAAAGAGGGATCCTGGAAGCTTGTTTCTTTCTTTTCTTTTTGAATCAAACAATGTTTCCTTCAAGTGTCATTTTCATCATGACACAATTAGCTCTCGAAGCAGGAAATGATGTTGGTTTCAAAGCCATTGACTAGTCGTCCTCTTGCCCATCTGCATCCACCAGACCTCACGTAGGTAGCTCTGCTGTTGTGCCTGCTTTGATACATCTCCGAGCCTTCTTTAAAATTTGCTTTCTTCAGAAACTTCCGATTTATTATTTCTGAGGTAGTAGGGCATAGTGATATGTTATTTTGCATTTATACTTTTCCTTGTACAATTTGTTAGCTATTCTGTTCCCCTCCTTCCCAAACAATAGGAGCAGGTAATTCCTATTTATATTATTCATCAGCTCTGGGTTTGAATTTTAGCTCTACCAGTTTCTACCGGTGTTGCTCTTGGACAAATTTTAAAATTTATTTGTGTCTTGGTTTCCTCATCTGTAAAACAGAGACACTGCCCTGGCTGGTGTGGCCCAGTGATTGAGTGCTGACCTGTAAAACAGAGACACTAATAGCCACCTCGTGGGGTTGTTGTAAGGATTAAAGGAGATGATTGTTGTAAAGCACTTAGTACAGTTCCATGTCAGAGTAAGTGCTCAGTAAAGGGTCATTGTTTCTGACATTCATAATTCCAACCATCTTAGTCATGTCTGTAACATCTTAATGTTTGTGTGTATATCTTGACATGGTCTTGGTGGTTGGTTGTCCTTGTCTGTTCAACCTCACTTTAGCTCAGGAGACACAGAATGATTACTCAGGTATTATATACCAGGCATTGAGTCACACCAGTGGACAAAACACTGTGTTTCTCCAAGCCAGGAAGGTCATTGTTCCAAAATACTGTATTAATGGGAAACTAGAAGGATGGGCAAAGTTCAGAAGTGGTACAGAGGAAGAAGTAGAGTGTTTTGTCTGGAGGGTTTAGGAAAGGATTTTAAAAGAGATGAAATAAGAGTAAAACTTCATAGGACAAATAATTTTGCCCGTGGACAAGGAGAATAGGGCTTTCCCTGCAGAAGGAACAACACGTGCAAAAGTGCAGAGGTGTGGAGCAGCATTGTATGGATGTGACTAATGGCACGATGGAGTTGGGGTGGTTGCCTAAAAAGGGGGCAGGGAGGTTTTGGGAGCCAGTTCATGCAGAGCCTTGAACACCCTGCTAAGGACCTGGGCTGGAGGTAATGGGAGCTCTCTGAAGGACTCTACACAGAAGAGTCCTGTGATCAGATTTGCGCTTTAAAGATCTCTCTGGAAGCTGTGAGGGGAACTGAGCAGAGTGGCAGGGAGGCCCAAGACAGGGAGACTAGTAACAACACTTCTGTAATAACCTTACCCAGAACTGAGGAAGAACTAAACAGGCAGGGGGTGTGAGGACAGACAATCTTTTGGGTATGTCCCTGCTCATTTTCTTTCTTTTAACTGTGTCTTGTCTCCTCAGCTACATTTGTGAACTCCCTAAAAGATCCCTCAATTTCCTTTAAAACGCTCCCCTTGCCAGTAAAATGATAGGTACCAGATCTCAAATACAAAGTGTAGTTCATTGTTTGCTTCAAAGGCTCGAGAGCTCCTGGAGGTTGGGAGCCTTGCCTGGCTGCCCACACTGTCTCCAGCTTCTCCCTTGCTGGCTGGCATCTGAAAGGGCTCAGTAAGTGAGGTGGCCACTGCCAGGTACTGGCTCAGTTAGGAAAGACTTGCACAGAACCAGCCATCCTCGCTCCTCCAAGCTTCTTTTTTTGACCAGTGATGTGCCTAGGAGGGGTTAGGAACAGCAGTTTCCTCTGTGTGCAGATGACTGTCCTATAAGCTGGGGAAGTTATATACCTTGACCTTTTCAAGACAATGCTAGGATAGCCAGGCCAATCTCATAACTCCTGAGTACAAGTATTGGCCTAGTCTTTATCTCCTTGGGAGAATCTCAGAGGTTGCTGATGTCACCATAATTCATATTAAAATATTTTCTCTTTAGAGCTGCCTTAAAAGTAGAGTTAGTGCAGACTTATGGTCCTCCCTTTTTTACTCCTGCTGGAGGTGGCCTGGAACTTCTCTTACCTTCTTGGGCGTTTGTTAATTTGGTTCTCATATCATCCTTACCCACCACCCACTCCCAGCGCCACCATCGGGGAAGGTGCTGGACAGATTCCTTCGGGCTCAGGCACAGCTCTCTGCCTCTGCAGCTGGGGTTATAAATAACCAGCAAAATCAAACAGTCAAATAGCCATGTTTTGAGAATTGCTTTAAAAAAATCACTCTGTTCCTGACTCAGTAGCAGTTCTCCTCCTCACACCCTTCCTCTCCACCGAACCCCACCCCCGCCTTTTCTGCCTCCCTTCCCAGATCCAAGCTCCCTAGGGTCAATCTGAGCACAAAGCTGTGCTATGATGAAGACATCTTTTTCCATATTTGACAGGGCCAAAGCCCTCCAGGGCTGTAGTTATAGTTACATGATGTTGTTATGGCAGCAGAGGCCTCAGGGCAACATATGTTCTTGGCTAGTAATTGGGTTTGCTTTAACAGACTGTTTCTCCCTGGGTTCTTCATTCCCAAATTCACTTATCAAGAGAACCAGGGAATTGCCATTATGGATGGGCCTTCATTTTTTTAATTCCAGTAAAATTAAATTCCTCTTTATTCCCCAGGAAGGAATGTACCCGGTCATCATGGGTTGAGACTTTTTGGACTTCAGGCATTTTCATCTATTCATTCAAAAAATATTTATTGAGCATTTGTTAAGTGCTCGGCATTGGGCTGAGAGCTGACAGACATGGTCCTTCCCCTCCTGGAACAGACAGTTTAGGACACAGAACGAAGCGGGGTAGGGGGACTGCGGGAGTATGACTCGCACCTGCCCCAACTCCCTCCACCTTTACAAATATTATTAACTCAAAAAAGTAAATTTTTGAGAAAATAAAAGACATTCTTAATCTCACTGCTATCACAAAGCTATTTTTATGTTTTACATATTGCCTTCTAGTTTTTCTTTACATGCATATGTTTTATTACATATGCATGTTTTTGTACACATACATTCATCATTTACATTAAATTGCATATTTTTTACACATTCTCAGCCTTTCCCATATTTCTCTAATAATCTTCATAATTGTGATCACTGTGTGACATTA